GCATTTGCCTTAAGCAAAAGAAGTTCAGAGATAGTGCCCTGGCCCAGAGTTGAAGACCCAGGACTAGCAAAAAACAAAAAACAACCCACCACAAACAAAACCAACCAGACAGCTTTAAAGCATCTGTCAATGTTTTTTGTTTGCTCTCAGCTCCAAAATAAGATTTTGTCAATGTCGATATTAGTTAAGTTCATTTTCAGTTTTCAAGTAGGAAGTTTCTGGATACCAAGTCATGACACATTCAAGACTAATTCTATTTATAAGTGACAACATAAAAGGCAATAATCTATACATTAAACATAAACAGCTTTGTTCTTATTTTTTGAGCACTCTACCATTTTGAACCAGAGCTACACTTCTGGTTTTCTGGTGCTTAATTGGAGATAAGACTCTCATGGTCTCTCCTGCCCAGGCTTGCTTCAAACTGTAATCCTCAGATCTCAGCTTCTTGAGTAGCTAGGATACTGGCATGAGCCACCAGCATCTGGCTGTGAACTTTTTTTTTTTTTAAGTGCTCTGCACTTATAAGCGAAATCCATGGGATAGTCTAGTACCAGCAAAGCCATTGCCATGAGTTGTATAAAACAGCTTTAAAAAAAGAGATTTTATTACTAATACACCTAAAAAATAAAGCAATACTGGTTTTGAAATCTAATCTCTGTTTTCTGCCTAGAGTACCACTTATTTAAACTTCTTCAATTGAAGAAGTTTAAATGTATCTGTTCTCACTTGCAGATTCAGAAGGATACTATGGACCAACTTACTTTCTCTTCTTTGTTACATTTCTTTACTTTCACATAGTTTTATTTTATAAAGGCAAGAATTTCAGCTTTACTTTTGTCTCTTGGCACTAGGCATATTGCCTGGATAGCAAACTGTTGGATAAATAAGTTTATAATAACCTTAAAACCTATGATCATTAATGGTTATTTTTGCATTATTTAGATTTGGCATCTAATATGACATAGTATTTTATATTCTAGAGTTATTACTACAAGTCTAATACGTTGTATCTATGGGGAGCTATTTTTTCAATAAGACAACCTAAGCTACTTTGCTTGTTCTCTTGCTCAATTTGTAATTTTGCCAAGAACAGGCTACTCAATGTGATGAGTCAGAATATTAAACCAACCTTTATGTGGGTTCATGTCACTGTTTCCCTCTTCATCATCCCCTGACTCTGGGTTGGCAACAGCCTCCTCAAAATGTAATGCTGCTCTATATGATTTGTGAAATCTTGTATATTACATATCCCTTCCTTCTTTTTCGTCACAGTTTTTGGAGAGGCTTACATTTATACAGAGTTATACAGAGGGGAATTTAATTGTTATGTTTTCACACATTTACAATATATTCCAGTTCCAATTAATTTCACACTATCTTTCTCTGTTCCCAAAACAATTTTAACAGATTTCCTTGTTCTATTTTTGTATTTGTAAACAGTCTGTTTCAACTGTATTCACCCTCTACTTTTTTTCCTTTCCTCATACTCCTAAGAAGTCCCTTAGTTAAATTCATGTTCTGTATTTACACACACACAAACACATACAGCGGTACAAATGGATATATATGTATATATATGTGTGTGTATATATATGCATACACATGTCCATTAGTATGCTTGTCTTTTAGGTCTAGCTTCCACATATGAGTGAACTCATGCAGTATTTTGTGTGTTTTTTTTTCTGTTTTTCTTTTATTGTGAAAATACCGTACAGAGGGGTTTACAATTATATGGGCAAGATAATGAGTACATTTCTTATAGTATTTTGTGTTCTGAGCTTGCTGTGCCTTAGTTAGATGTTCTCCAATTGGATCCATTTTTCTGCAGATGACATGATTTCATTTATGGCTATGTACTATTCCGTAGGGAATAAGTATGTATGTGTGTGTTTTGTGTCATATTTTTAATCTGTTGTTGGGTACCTTAGTTGATTCTCATTTGGTTATTATGAACAGTACAATAGACATAGATATTCAAGTGTATTTTTGGTATTTTGATTTACTGTCCTTTGGATATATGCTAAAAATGGTATGGTGGAGACAGAGGAGGTCTCTTTTTTGAGGAACCACCATACTGATTTCCATAGTAGTTATACAAGTTTACATTCCAGCAGTGTGTAAGGGCTTCTTTCTCTCTGAATTCTTCCTTTTTTTTTTTTTTTTTTTTGCCGGCCCTCGGGCTTGATCTCAGGGCTTGGGTCCTTTCTATGAGCCTCTTTGTACTCAAGGCTAGCCCTCTTACCATGAGCTACAGTACCACTTCCAGCTTTTTCTGAGTAACTTATTGGAGATAAAAGTCTCAGACTCTTCCTGCCCAAGGTGGCTTTGAACCACAATCCTCTGATCTCTGCCTCCTGAGTGGCTAGTAGTATTAGGCCACCAGAGCCTGCCTGCCTTCCTTTTTTAAGAATAAGAATGTTACCTAGTTAGCAGGCAGCATATTCTTTTCACCTGTCAACTCATATTTTATTGCTAGTTTAAAACTGTCTTAATGGCCATAGATACTATATTTTACAATAGATAATTTGAAGGGCAACTGTGTTTTAAAATTCTTAGATAAATTCATACACTCAAATGTTTAGTTACTACATAATCATTAAACTCATTTTAGGTAAGAGGAGTTGTTTTTAGACAAGATCTTAACTGTTTAGCCCCCTGCTGGTCTTGAACTCAAGATTCTCCTACCTCAACCTACTGAGTTAAAAAAACAACAACCTTATGGGGCATCGGTAGCTCATGCCTGAAATCCTAGCTACTCAGGAGGCTGAGATCTGAGGATCTATGTTCAAAGCTAGCCCAGGCAGGAAAGGTCTGTGAGACTCTTCTCTCCAATAAACCACCAGAAAACAGGAAGTCGCGCCATGTTTCAAATGGTAGAACGCTGGCCTTCAGCTGAAGAGCTGAGGGACAGCTTTCAGGCCCAGAGTTTAAGTCCCACAACTGAAAAACAAAACAAAACAAAAAACAACAGAAAAAAAACCTTGAAACATTTTTTTCTTTTAAATGAACCTAGACCCTCACACATGTAAACAAGCACTTTATTACTGCACTTAAGCTCTTTTTATGTGTGTGCATATGTGTTGTGTTCACAAGCACATACATGTAGGTCCTTTGCCTCTGTCTTGAAGTTTAAAGCTTGGGCGCTGTCCTTGACATCTTTTTGCTCAAGGCTAGTGCTACCATATGAACCATAGCTCCACTTGCAACTTTCCTTGGTGCTTAATTGTAGATAGGATTTTCCTACCTAGGCTGGCTTAGGACCAAGATCCCCTGATCTTAGCCTCCTGAATAGCTAGTATTACAGGTGTGAGCTACAGGCACGAGGCTAGTTTTTATAGGGATATTAATATGTAGGGGTGTGGGGGGGGTTGTGATATCTTTGTATATTATTGTAAGCTGGTAAAAATATGTAAAAGTTACCACAAGTTAGAAATCTGAAATCAAGATAACCTTGGTTCAAGTTTCCTCAGCCTGGGAGAAAAGTTTGTGATACTCAATTTGAGAAAAATAAAGCCCAAGGGCTGGGAAGTTGACTCAGTGGTAGATTGCTTGCCATGCATGCATGAGGCCCTGGGTTCAATTTTTCACCACATAAGCAGAAAAAGCCAGAAGTGGCTCTGTGGTTCAAGTGGTAGAGCGCTAGCCTTGAGCTGAAGAGCTGAGGGACAGCGCCCAGGCCCAGAGTTCAGGCCCCACAAGCTACAAAATATAAAGAAAAGAAAGCCCAAAGGGTTGAAGGTACATTTCAAGTGGTAGAGCATTAAGTCCTGAGTTCAAACCTCATTACAAGAAAAAGTCAACATTGTATCATTCCAATTATATGCGATATCTAAAATAGACAGATCAGTTGGTAGCTGCTAGAAGCTAGAGAGGGAGGGTAGAACAGAGACTGCTGATGAGTATGGGAATTTTCATTGTTCTGCTGCTATCACTGCCTTCCCTCTTCAGAATATTTTCATTTTCTCTGTATCCATTAGATTCTAATGCCACATTCTGTCTTCCTCTTAGTCCTTGGCATCTCCCATCCTACTTTTCTCTCTGTGAATTTGACTGCCCTAAGTACCTTATATAAGTGCAATCTTATAATATTTATCCTTTTATTATGGGCTGGTTTCATTTATCATAACATCTTCAAAGTTCATCCATGTTGCAACATGTTTCAGAATGTTCTTTTCAAGGCTGAATAAAAGGAACCACCATACTGTTATTTCTGGTGGTTGCACTGTTTTATAGTCTGATGGACAATGTATAAAGGTTCCAATTTCCCCTACATTCTTGCCAACACTATTGTCAGTATTTTTGATAATAGACATTCTAGGAGAGGTAAACTGTCTTCATCTGGTTTTAAGATCTGATGGTTAGTCTGGAAGGGGAGGATATGTCACAAGAGGAGGCCAACTGAGAGTAATTAGACTCACTGGCAGACTATAGAGAAACTAGGAGGTAAAGGAAGAGAGAATATAGCCTGTCAAGAAGAGAGCTAGGCAGAAGGTCACATACTCCTGAGAAGTATTTGGAAAGGTCTGAAACATGGTTGATGGATTTAGTGGTTGAAATTGCAGTGGTGAACATAACAAGCTGTTTTAGGGCAAGTAGAGACTCTGGAATCCTGATTGGGATGTTTTCAGGAGTGAGTCAATGATAAGGAGATGAAAATTAGCAAATTAGACACATCTTTGAAGACATTTCTCAATGAAAAACGGGTGAGAACAGGATGACTGGAGATGAAGATAGGTTTGACATTTCATAAGGAAGAAAGCCAAGCGTTTGTCTTTGGAAAAAAAGAGATCCTCTCTAGGGGGATTGGGATTTCAGAATGGTAAAGTCAAGACTATTCAAGATATTTCATTGAAATGTGAGTTTTGAGACAGATGGAACCCACATTTAGTATTAATAGCTACCATCATTCATCCTCCTCTCTGCTAAATTAATATTTTTTGGAGTAGTCTGTTGTCTAATTGTTATGTTTAATTTTTATTCCAATCCCTTTTTGCCAGAAGAATGATGAAAATGGAAACTGCTCAGGGGAAGGAATTGAATTCCCTACAACAAATTTATATGAACTAGAAAGTCGTGTTTTGACTGATCATTGGTCCATCCCGTACAAGCGAGAAGAATCCCTAGGCAAATGCCTGCTGGCATCTACCTACCTTGCAAGACTTGGTAAGCTTCATACCCCAGAGGATATGAGGAAGTATTTGTCATAGGAGGCTGAGTTAAATCTTAGTTCTTCTTATTGTCTATCTCTGCAGTATTGGACAGATTATTTACTTATGTATGCCCCAAGTGGAATAAGAGTTATGAAATGAATCAGCTATTTTTTTCTTTCTTCTAGTAGGAGTGTAAGATTATTTAAAATTCAGTTGAAGAACTTCCACAAATGTTTGGAACACTCTAAATTTGTTCTCAGTTCAGGTTTGTTTTATGGTCTTACTTTCTATTCTGGGTTGGCATTCTGTCAGTTAAGACGGCTTTTCGGTGATTAATTAGAGTTAAGAGTCTCAGACTTCTACCTGAACTGCCTCCAAACGACCATTTTCAGATCTCAACCTCCTGAATAGGAGGATTGCAGGTGTGAGCCACCAGTGCCCAACTTGTTTAGTTCTGAAGAGAAGAAAGTAAGCCACTCTGTTAGTGCACTTTATGAGGTCCTGGGTTCAATCCCTGGCACTGAGAGAGACAGAACCATTATTATATGATTTTTATTTATTTATTTATTTATTTTTTGTCCGTCCTGGGGCTTGAACTCTGGGCCTGAGTGCTGTCCCTCAGCTCTTAAGCTCAAGGCGAGCACTCTACCACTTGAGCCACAGCGCAACTTCCTATTATATGATTTTTATAATGGATTAATGTGTTCACTCAACATTTATCTTATTCTCTATGAATTGTGCCAGACATGCTGTGTATTTTATTATTCATAGTTCAAATATTTTAGGAAAGGAGAAATGTCATTTTTCGTTTAAAAATATTTGTGTTTTTATAGAGCTGTTTAGAAAGACAAAAATGGCTAGTAAGTAGCTACTCTTTTATCTAGGCAGATCATGTTACAAATGATATATGTAAGCCATTTAATTTTTGTTCAGTATTCATTTGGTTGAATGCTATGATTATTTCTCACCCTGTTACTTTACTAAAATGCATTATCAAACTATTTTTAAGTTTTATTTCTTTTTAAAATTATTCTAACTATTAATAATCCCTTAAGAATCAAGGTGCTTGTGACAAATAACTTCCATATATAAGAATTTAGAATTTTATATATGTGTGTGTGTGTGTGTGTATGTAATTTTGCAAAATCTACCTAAAAATCTAAATACAGTATATCTTTTTTTTTTACCCAGGTCTTTCAGAATCGGATGAAAATTGTAAAAGATTTATGGATAGGTGCATGCCTGAAGCATTTAAAAAGGTAAGAAAAGTGTGCTGATTTGATTTTTTTGGGTGGTAGGGGGTTAAGATAGACATAAGTTTTGTTTTAGTTATTTATGGCTAGTGTGTCAATGCTAATTTTGTTCAACCGGAGAATTGTCTGATATGAAAAAAACTCAGGCTGGGCTAACTAATAATTTACTTCTATTTTTATTGCCTTGTTTTTGGTTGAATATAACTCTTCTGTTTAACTGGTAAAGAATATAGTAATAATTATACTAGGGAATTGTATATCTTAGTCAACTAAGGATTAGGGCACTTAGATTATATTTTCCAAAATACAAGCAGCTTTATGTGAAAGTCTGACTTCTTCCTGAAAAAAATGTATGCTCAGGAAAACATCTCTTTTTCGAGCATGAGTGATAGCTGTGCTTCATTCTGGCCGCATCTCTTAAAGAGCAATTTTTCTTAATAATGGGAGGAGGAGATCACAGGAATTGTGTTTCTAAAAGCAATCTGTCTCAGCATGATTCCCTTTTCAGAACAAGGGTCTTGAATCCTCATAAGAGGAGAGACTGTAATAGACACTGCAGTTTTCCTCCGTGGATAACCAAGTGCCTAGCTCATAGAAAGATCTTAGTAATCTTGGTTGAATGCATAAATGAGTCTCCTGCTGTCTTGTACTATTGGATTTTTGACATCTATCTTTTTTCTCCATGTGTAAGTAAGTCACTAGACTACAGATGGGTATCTTACAACTCAGTCAAACACATTGTCCACTTGCAAATAGTTATTCCCATCTGCATTTTGATAGACTCTCCCTTTATTAAAGATGTAAAAATAGCAAAATTGATTCAGAAACAATTGTAGCTTAGTCTTTGGGGGAAAAAAAGGAGAGGGAGAATCTTTTTTTCTTTTTTTGTGGTCTGTCATGGGGCTTGAATTCTGGGCCTGGGCCCTGTCCCTGCGCAAGGGGAACACTCTACCACACAGCGCCCCTTCAAGTTTTTTGGTGGTTAATTGGAGATAACCGTCTCATGGATTTTCCTGCCAGGGCTGGCTTTGAACTGCGATCCTCAGATCTCAGCCCCCTGACTAACTAGGATTAAGGTGTGAGCCATTTTCACAAAAGCCATAGTACGTGCATATATTTACAGAAAAGCAAAATTCAAGTATATTAAAAAATCATAACAAAAGGACTTGTTTATCTAAGAAAGGCAACATTGAGGGCCAAAAGTCCAGAAAACCCAGTCAATTTACCAGCAAGTTGCATGGTTGGGCTATTATACACTAAACTGATTGGAGGTGCTTCAGAGGACTGTTATATATTCTGCCCTCAACTGATAGTAGCACTGTATAACTAATGGTCAAATGGTTATTGGTTAGTTTCCTCCAAAACTGAGCACAAAGCTACCCTGAATAATGTGATTCAGTTTTGTTTATGTACAGGTGTAAAGTTCTCTCAGAGCTATTAGGAAGATTATCTATGAATTCCACCCTTTTAAAAGACTTTTAGTGTATTTACAGATTGCACAACCATCAATCACCACAATGTAATTCCTGAACATTTTCATCATTCACTCCAAAAGAAAGCCTGAGACTTCCAGTAGCTGTTCCCCTTATCCTTGGCCCCCACCAGGGATTTCTACTTTGCCTCATGGCAAAGTGCAAATGGCTCATACAATATGTGGTATTTTATGACTTACTTCTTTCACTTAGAATAATATAAGACTATTTTATTGATTGAAACCTTCTCTACCAACAACCCTTCCTGGTCCCAGTGATATTTTTTTTTCCCCTAAAATAGTAGAACTACAGGGTTATGTTTGCCTTTAGGCCTAGCTTCCAGAAAACTCAAGGATTTATATCATTGGCACCACTTGTAGCTCTGTTTCCTGATGTGATGACCAGTTTTTTTTTCTCTCTTCCTCAGGCTTTTCTTAAAAACTGCCTCAAATGTTTTTAGATATAAGGATCTGAATAATTGAGTACATGACTGAAGTACAAAAAGCAGTTTTGGGGCTGGGAAGGTGGCTCAGTGGTAGAGTGCTTGCCTTGCATGCATGAGGCCCTGGGTTCGATTCCTTAGTACCACATAATCAGAAAAAACTGGAAGTGGTGCCATGGCTCTAGTGTTAGAACGCTAGCCTTGAGCTGAAGAGCTGAGGGACAGCGCCCAGGCCAGAGTTTAGGCCCCATGACCAACAACAACAAAAACAAAAAGCAGCCTTGCTGGCTGTCATTTCTTTTTTTTTTTTGCGGTCGTGGGGCTTGAACTCTGGGCCTGAGCACTGTCCCTCAGCTCTTAAGCTCAAGGCTAGTGCTCTACCACTTGAGCTACAGCACTACTTCCGGTTTTCTGGTGGTTTATTGGAGATAAGAGTTTCACGGACATTCCTTCCCGGGCTGGCTTTGAACTGCGATCCTCAGATCTCAGCCTTCTGAGTAGCTAGGATTACAGGCATGAGCCACCGGTGCCTGGCTGGCTGTCATTTCTGTGTTACTCCCATCCCACCTTCCAGCTGAGGAGGAAAACAATCTCTGTCTGGCCATAGTAAATGGTTACATTTAAACCTGTGTATACATTTCTCACAAAGTGCCATCTGTCATTCCCAGTTCTACTAGAAGGTAGGCAGAACTGCATTTTGTTTTTGTTTTTCTTTTTTTGGGGGGGTAACCATTTCTGGGGCTTGAATTCAGGTGTCTGGGCACTATCCCTGAGCTTTTGTGCTCAAGGTAAGTGCTTTACCACTTGAGCTACAGTTTAATTTCCAGCTTTTTGGTAGTTAATTGTAGATAGATAATAGCTGGTAGATTGTTAATTGTAGCCTCTTGGACTTTCCTGCCTGGGCTGGCTTTGAACATTCAAACATCATCCTCAGATCTCAGCTTCCCAAGCTAGGATTACAGGTGTGATCTACCAGCACCCTGCTCAGAACTGCATTTTCAAAGTAAAAAATAAACAAATGAGATGACTTGAATAGTGCTTAATCCATTTTTATTTTGGAATGACATGAAGCATCCTAAGGCCTAATCTATGTTTCACTTTATTGTACTATTTAATTTTTAAGTATCAGAGGAATATATAGTCAAAAATCTTTTTTTTTTTTGCTGGACGTGGGACCTGAACTCTGGGCCTGGGCGCTGTCCCTCAGCTCTTCAGCTCAAGGCTAGCGCTCTACCACTTGAGCCACAGTGCCACTTCCAGCTTTTTCTGCTTATGTGGTACTGAGGAATCGAACCCAGGGCCTCATGCATGCAAGGCAAGCACTCTGCCACTGAGCCACCTTCCCAGCCCTATAGTCAAAAATCTTGCCCCCCCAAAATGTAACTTACTGGTTTTTGTAAAATAAATCTTGTGATTATTTTTTTTTCTTCATTTGAACTAGTAAATGCAGCTAATCTGGAACAGAGGTTTCTCTCTGCATCTGCTGAAGTTTGGGCTCTTTCAAGCTATTCTTTATTGAAGAACTATCGTGGGTCCTGGGTGAAATTTTTATTACATGGTATTTTCTCTCTGAAGGGAAATCTTACAAAAACATGAAACTGGGCCAAGCATGACAGTGCATGCTTGTCCTATCCGCACTTTGGAGGCTGGGCAAGAGAGCAAAAAGTTTAAGGCCAGCCTGGATTATTAGCGAGACTGTCTCAAAAAAAGAAAAAGAAAACCCCAAACAATAACAGAAAACATGAGCATTCTAGCAATATTCCTTTGATTTCTCATTCCTTGTTCTGGAATTTTTTCCTTAATTACTTTTCCCCAGGAATAGAAGACAGAGGACTAGCAGGATACAATTCCATTACTTTCTAATGAATTTAAGAAGCTATCTGATTACAAGATAGATATCTGTTTTATATTTGATATTTAAGAAAATATTTGCACAGTAAATCACTATCTTTCATTTAGAGCTATTTTAGGTTTAATCATTTAAAAAGTTGAGTACTAATTTTGGATATATGAGAAAGGAAAATGAAATTACGTAGGTATTTCTAAGATGTGTCACATTTAGAGTTCTGTTCCCATCCAGTCAGTAGGTGAAAAGATGCAGTCTTATATATGTTTTTTTGTTGTTTGTTGTTTTGTTTGCTGGTCCTGTGGCTAGCACTCTATCACTTGAGTCACAGTACCACTTCTGGTTTTTTTGAGTAGTTTATTGGAGATAAGAATCTCACGGGGACTTTTCTGCTGGCTTTTCGGGCTGGCTTTGAACCACACTTCTCAGATCTCAGCCTTCTGAGTAGCTAGGATTACAGGCATGAGCCACCTGCATCTGGTTGCAGTCTTATCTCTGAGATGGGAAAAATGTGAAAAGCATGTATATCAGAGTCCATGGATCACAGCATCCATTTCTTGTATTCCAGAAGGACTGATTAGTATTGATAGTCAGCTACCAAATCATTAATATTGCCTTGACATTCATTAAATGCTGTCATGTTTGTTCTATCTTTGGATCCTTGTAACATCTGTGGGAAATGGGCAGGAATTCAATCTCATTAAAGATTAGAACTGAGCCTCTGAGAACTCTGGTAAATTTCTCTGTGTCCACACAGCAGTAGTTCCCACAGTTGACCTAAGGTTTTTACTTGCTTGTACACTGTTCTTCCCTGATAATAAGTTTTAAAAAGGAGTATTTCCTTTTTTTTAAACAAACTGCTTTAATGCAAGGGAATTAAAATTCAAAAGCAAAACTTTATGTTGACTTTCAAATTAAAAGTGAAGGACTATGGATCTTCAGATCAATTAATTAAAAATTATTCTTAATAAACAAAAGACTAAAGCAATTATCTCTTGGTTATTTAGTGTCAACCTGATAAACTGTATTTTTCTTTTCTCAAGTTAGACTCTAGACTCTTATTTTTTGTAGCTCCTGACATCAAGTGCCGTTCACAAGTGGGGTACTGAAATTCATGAAGGAATCTACAACATGCTGATGCTATTGATAGAACTGGTTGCAGAAAGAATAAAACAAGATCCAATTCCCATTGGGCTTCTGGGCGTGCTTACAATGGTATAGTATCTCTAAAATGGAGTAATTTTCTTTGTGTTTTGATTTTACTTGAAATACTTGCTATTAATTGACTTGTAATGAAAATGAATGATAATAATTTTATCATTAAGCCTATTAATTCAGCTGTTAGTAGTCCTTAATAATTAAAACAGAGCAACCAACCTGTGTTTTGAGTTTGAAATAATTTCTAACGTTAAGGAATTTGTCAGCTTATAATTTTATTTATTTATTTATTTATTTTTTGTCGGTCATGGGGCTTGAACTCTGGGCCTGGGCGCTGTCCCTCAGCTCTTCAGCTCAAGGCGAGCGCTCTACCACTTGAGCTACAGCGGCACTTCCAGTTTTCTAGTGGTTTATTGGAGATAGGAGTCTCACGGTCTTTCCTGCCCGGGCTGGCTTTGAACCAGGATTCTCAGATCTCAGCCTCCTGAGTAGCTAGTATTACAGGTGTGAGCCACTGGCGCCCGGCTAACTTATAATTTTATGAGCTGAAATAGTTTTCCCTTACCTCCCCTGGTTATTCTCATCTTAAATGTTGATATCACTTGGCTTCTGCCTTTTCCCCATTTGTTCTTTTTCTCATAACTTTCTTCATTGCCTCTGTTTCCCAGCTATACCTGTGACAGCCCTGGTACATTAGGGGTAATGGCTTCACCTTTTGGGTCTCAGACCTCTCATCCTGTTAGCTCCTTCTCTCCCCAGAGTGAACATGAGTAGGCCAGGGGAGCACCACACTAGTTGACTGCTTTGTCACTATTCCTAAACAACTCCATTATTGAAAGAGTACAAGGCTATATTTTTATCTTCTTTTCTAATGCTAATGTGTTGCTATAGAAATAGATAATAATGTTGTTCTGTTCTCTTTGAATCTAGGCTTTCAATCCTGATAATGAATACCATTTTAAAAACAGAATGAAAGTGTCTCAGAGGAATTGGGCAGAAGTGTTTGGAGAAGGAAATATGTTTGCTATTTCACCCATATCTACTTTCCAAAAGGTAAACATGGTTCTTTTTTGTCTTTTTATAGAGAGATGTATTGAAAAAGATTTCTGTGCTATAAAACTGATAATTTACACAGAGGGCTAAAATAATCTGAGGAAATGATGAGTATTCTATGTGGTTCATAGAACTGAGTAAAATATGTTCAGATGTTACATATTTTCCTGTAGCTATTAATAATATGAAGAATCTCAGAGAGGTGAAATTTTATTTAGTAAAATAAGAAACAACTTCAGTGTCCTACATACTATATTATCAACCTCAGTTTAATTGGTGCTCCACTTTCTTAGAGATAATTTAGAGACTGGAGTATTTGAAATAATTTGAAGTGACTAATTGTACCTTTAAAAAAATGAAAGAAAAGAACCCTACTAGTCTCATATATAATTTTCTTTAAAATTCTAGCTTTTCCAGAACCAATCTTTATTTTATATCAAAAGTTTGCAGTATGGCAGTAATTTTATACTCATGAGAAAATGTATAAATATTTCTCTAGTTCAAATATTGGTTTTCAAGAAATAGAGTCAAATGAGTTGATAGTAACTTTCCCATTGTGTTACTTATTGCCCAGCATCCATTTATCAAACACTTATTGTGTGTAGCATTGTTCAGATTTTAGAGATAAAAATATAAACCAGTAGTCTTTGTCTTTAATATGGAGAATAATATTATGTTGCTCTTAGAATATAGTAGAGGAAATATGAAAACAGTCATCAGTATAATACATAGGACAACCATAATAAATATTGTGTACAGACAAAAGAGAGTTACCTTAGTTACCTTCATGGATCAGGCCATCTTTATAGGAGATGTCAGAACTGGGTGGCCAGAGCAGTGCATAGATACTTAAGAATTTAATCCCATTGTAACGCTGAGTTAAGTACTATTTCATCCTCTTTTGTATATGAAAAGCAGACACAGAGGTTAAATATTTGCTTAAGCCCCAATACTTAGATCTAAGTTCTTGGAATTAAGCTCTCTAGAGTCTGCTTTTTTTAACCATAGACAGAACTGCCTCCCAAAATAGCAAAATCTTCTCTGGTTTATTAAATTAAATTAAGTTTATTAAATAGTAAATTATATAAAAAATTCTAAATGTAATGGTACGCTGTAGATACTTGTTCTTTTCCCTCTGACTTCCACTACTGAGATGTAAAAGGTTCAGTGTTGTATTTCTTCTCAAGATCATAAAGGTATTCTCTCTCACCAATGCCCTAGGTACCTCTCCTGTTACCTTCTCAAGCATTTTGCTCCTTAGGTTTTCTAGTCCTTCACCAATGTCCTCATGCTGGGTCATTCCATTATATTCAACATGCTCTAGCCCTTGATTGCTATATCCTCTTTGGCTTCAGCATGATTCCTCTTCACCATACCTCATGAAAATTTCCAGGTCCCCTCCAATTCTAAATGAATTGACTACACAAAACCTAACTTTCATTATCTGATTCACCTCTGAACACTATGAAACCATGCTTCCTGTAATTACCTCCCCAGCATGCACAAGTGCAAGCACACACAGCCATCTTCTTTGTTTGCCACACAGAATTCTTAGGCTTTGTATGCCTACAGCAGGTCTCAATGTTGCCTCCCTACCTTTATTATTCTTTTTTCAACCTATCCATAATATCACCATCACTTAGGTACTTGAGCCAAAACTCAATTCCTCATTTTCCTTATCCCTTATATCCAAATAAACAGGTCTTTCAACTTAATCTCAACTATAACTCCAATGACCTACTACCATCCTGCTCCTCACCCCACCCATCCTGTCTGGTAACTGAGCAAGGCTTTAACTGGTTCTGTATGACTCCTCCCTACTCTCCGATTCTTTCATTACATTCTTAACAACTGCATAGGTAATATTCAAACATAAATACACAGCATGCTGTTGCTCAAAACACATCCATGGCTCTCCTAGTCCCAGCCTACCAGCTTCTGTATGATCTGGCCTTCAGTCTACAGTCTCCTATGTTGCTCTCACCCTACTTGGAAAATTTTCTCTTAGTTTTTCAAACATAATATTCTTTTCTGCCTTTGGCATTACAGCTTATGTGAACTGTTCTTTAAATGCTCAAATCTGTGACATCCTTTAGGTTCCAACTTAGTGACTGTCCATTAGAGGTCTTCAGTGACCATTATCCTGAGCAGAGCAGTCTCCTTATACATACATACATATATATGTATATGTATGTGTGTATATAGATGTATATAAATGTATATATATATGTATATGTATATTCAAGGACCTTGTCCATATATATAGAACTTGGAGTGAGTTAAACTTCTCACTATATATGCTCAGAGTGCAGGCTCACTTTTATTTAGCACCAGAAAACACCATTTGGATACACTGTTAAGTGTTAACCTTTAAATTTTTACCCCTGGGGGGTGGGGTGGGGTAAGGGTGAGGGAAATGAAAGTTTTTATGATCTTTTATGATCTTTCTTTTGAGGTCCGTAATATACATACACACACACACACACACACATATCCTTGTCCTCTCTTCTTAAGATCTTTCATTTTTTTTTTTCTTTTTTTGGGTGGGGGGGTCCGGTCGTGGGGCCTGAACTCTGGGCCTGGGCACTGCCCTCAGCTCTTCAGCTCAAGGCACAGCACCACTTCTGGCTTTTTTCTTTTTGCTTATGTGGTGCTGAGGAATTGAACCCGGGGCCTCATGCATGCAAGGCAAGCGCTCTACTACTGAGCCACCTTCCCAGCCCTTAAGATCTTTCTTTTAATGAGTATTAACACAATTTTTGTTAACTCCGCTAGAATATGAGCTGTCTGAAATCACATGGCACATCTGTTACCCAGTTGTCAGCACTATAAATGCCTAGAGAAGAAAAGAGGAAGGGAAGGAGGAGTTGTAGAAAGCTTACTTAAGGGCATTAGTGCTACAGCTAGAATGAAAACTTTAATTACATAATATTTAGATAAATAATTCTTAATTTCAAAAATACCACTTTCATAAAGAATTTAACAGAAGTTATCCTGTTCCTGGGAGAACTTGTCTGATCTCTGATGCCTCAAAATGCATATAAATATTCTACATTGTGGCAATTCCACCAAAACTCAGACATTACAAACCTACAATTGTATACAATAATGACAAAGTCTTACATTAGGGAAACAGTTGCAGAAACCTTTCAAAGTGATTTTTAAATTTTAATTTTTTTTCCTCTGACTTTTCATCTAGGATACAAGAAATATAAGGATTAATAAGGAAGCTTTTACATTAATGTCTCAATTTTTATTCTATTTTCTCACAGGAACCTCATGGATGGGTTGTGGACTTGGTAAATAAGGTACATATTTCCATTAACACAGTTTTGTCATATCTTTCCAATTTTGTAATGACATTTCCTCGAGCTCCTATTTTAAACAAATGATAGGGGCTGGGAAGATGGCTCAGTGGTAGAGTGCTTGCCTTGCATGCTCAAGGCCCTGGGTTCGATTCCTCAGTACCACATAAGCAAAAAAAGAAAAAAGCCGGAAGTGGCACTGTGGCTCAAGTGGTAGAGCGCTAGCCTTGAGCTGAAGAGCTGAGGGACAGCGCCCAGGCCCAGAGTTCAGGCCCCACGACCGGACCAAAAAAAAAAAAAAAAAAAAAAAAAAAAACAAATGATAACTGGAGAATAATCAGAATGTTTCCTGGGGAGGTGTATTTTATAGTTTCCTCTCTTCTTGCATGTGCAATACATACAGATGAATCCCTGCTTTTGGAACTATCATATCTGCATTATACTATTGTAGCATTAGAATTTACCTTTCTGGTGATTCTACAGGACCATACAATAATATTGAAACACAGTGATAAAATGTTAGTCCTAGTTGCTTGCTGAAGCCATATATAGTGTTTAAATTATTATTTGTATCTATTTTCTTTTTAGTTTGGAGAACTAGGTGGATTCGCAGCAATCCAAGTCAAACTCCATTCAGCAGACATAGAACTTGGGGTGAGTTAAACTTCTCACTATATGTGCTCAGAGTGCAGGCTCACTTTCATTTAGGTTGGTTTAGCACCAGAAGACACCATTTGGATACATTGTTAAGTGTTAATCTTTAAATTTTTTACACCCCCCCCCGGGGGGGGGGGGGAAGGGGGAAGGAAATGACATTTTTTATGATCTTCATGAACAGAGAAGTCAACATTGCACATTTAACCCAGCATAGTAGCAAGCTCTGTAGCCTGAGCCTTTTCACCTTGACTAATCAAGCCATGGTTTTAGACCCAGGATGGAGCTTCCTCAGTGATAGTGGATCTCATTGTAGAGCTCCTTTATCTTCCCAGGTAACCTGTGTGAAGACAGTGGTGGTACGTGTCTTCCTGTGACTAGCTGTCCCAGTCTGGCCTTTACCACTTAACTGTTTTGATGACTGGCACTTGTATCCAGTATTGTTATTTTTTAAAGTCTTCTTCTTGACTACTCTTATTTACTCTTCTACCTGAGCTGTTATATCTGTAAGATTGTTACAGAGGCCAGTTTGGTATTATATGAAATGTATAGGACAATGTATAATTAGCCTTTTCTTAATACTGATACTTCCTACTCAGAAGCACAGTATCTCTCTCACTTATTCCAGTGATGTGTTTGTACTTTTCGTCAAATAAGCTTTTTGCTATTAAAGGTATATTTTACTTCCTCCCTAACCTCTTTGTTAAAAAAATGTTTAAGATAATAAAAAATACAGTTGTAAGAAATGAAAAGAATGTTTACTATTCAACACTGTGAATTTTAGAGGCATTCATTTGGACCTATGCCAAAGTTTGACTGGTTAACATATTTTCATTTAAATTATAAAAATTTCTCGTAAGAACTCAAATAGATTGCCATCTTCATATCAGTTCCTCCTGTCCAAGGATTTTATTATCTAGTCATTTATTCATTTCATGACTTTAATTCACTCATAACTTTCTCGTCCCTTTTCTATTTTAGCCATTAAGCTGTATTGAACAAAGGGACACATTGAAATTTGTTACGTTCTTCATAAATAAATTTTTGAAAATTGTAACTTGCACATTGATTTTTTTAAAAAACCTACCCCACGTGGTTTTAATGTCTTTTGAGTGTGATAGTTCTATATGTAACGTTCATTTTCCTAATATTAGAGCATTTTAAATCAGTTATCACTTCCTTGCTCTCCAAGGATTTAATATTCCAGTCATTCATTCATGGCTTAATGAAATCATGACTTGAATTTTTCACAGAGGCATAAAAAAGGAATTGCTTGCTTTGGAAAAGAAAAAATCCTCTCATGTTTCTTTGTATCTTCATTACCTTTTCCAGGCCGTCTCAGCACTGGTGCAACCCTTAGGCGTATGTGCAGAGTACCTGAATTCCCCAGTGGTGCAGGTAGGATTAAGCCATTTTACATTATTGCCTAAACAATCTGAGACCTGCAGGCAATCATTTACTTGTAATTAAATTGTTTAGAATTGTGTTTATTAATCCATAGAAACTCTCGATTTCCAAAATAGTTACCATTTTTAAAAGAATATTCTCAGAACAAAAACTATTAATTTGAAGTTTAGGGACCTAGACATTTAAGGTTTTTGTCTTGTGAATAATTGAGCAAATATGTCTGTAATTTTTCATTTTCTCAACATAAAGTAGGCAGCGTGTATCTCTGTCCTCTTCACAAATTGTTTCAGGTTCATTGCCATTATAAGTTACATTAGATCAGCCAAATCACTCACTTCAGAGTAACAGCTTTTCAACATACCTTGCCTGATTTCCTGCTGCTGCAGAATTGCAAGACAATAAGTCATAGAATATTCAAAGCTATACTGCTCAGCTTTCTAATCCTAAAGACCTATTTTACTTTGTTGTTTCTTTCCATTTCAGCTAACAAGCTTTATTGAACAAAGTGTCACATTGAAATACTTCTGTTATTCTCTTTATAACTGAGTCTGTGAAACCTGTAACTTTTATATAGACATAAACTTACCATAAATTGTTTTGAAAGCATAATATCCTTTGGGTACAGTGTTTCTGTATGCACTGTTTCCTTCTTTCCAAAGTTGTATTCTTGCAGGTTAATTTTAATCAGGGAGATAATTTTTTTTTTAGTAGATACTGGAACTTGCTTCCATTTCTAAATGTTAAATGGGTTATTTTAGATGTCAAGGTAATGCTGTACAATTTTCAAGTGAGCTAGCATGGCTTTTGCACATGTTTTCTTCATTCTTTATATTAAACTTCTAGTGATTTTCAGCTTATTAACCATAAAATATAACCATTAGTTTTCTAACTGAAGCACTAAAAAATAGAGGAAAAATATTTTGGCCTTTTAATATTGTTTAGTTATAAATAATAATTTAATAATGACTTTAAATAATCAAGCCCAGGATTAAATTTTGAACATATTTACTCTGTGGAAAAAAGTCAACATAAATTTTTTGGATGCCAATTGAGGTTTTTAGAAATTATAGCTTTCATGTGTTTGTGTGTGTGATATGTGTGTGTGTGAAACTTTAAAGAGAATAAGAAGCATAAGAATAAGAAACATGTATAATGTCATCCTTAATTTATAACAAACTATCCAGACAAAATTGAGCCACCAGCAAATTCATGATACATGTTAGTTGACATAAATTAACAGTTGTCTCCACCATTTGCTATTTGTTTAAATTGTATGCTTTCTTCCATTCCTCCCTTGTAAGGAAGATGATGATGGTGGTGATAATGATAATAATAATACCTATCTTCTATTCCTCCCTTGTAAGGAAGATGATGATGATGGTGATAATGATAATAATAATACCTATCTCACAGTAGAGAGGAGTAAACAGGGCCTGATCCATGACAGCAAGAACTCTGACTCAGTCCCAGTCCTTACTGTACAACAGGCAGATGTGTAAATTCTGTCTGGATAATTGTCTGGTATTATTGTAATTTGCTGTTTATTCTTGACTCTGACAGCTAAATGTCTGTTTTCTTCATACCAGTTATTTTTTAAATTATGGAGATGGATTTTCTAGCTAATATTATGCCACATCTCATATCTTGTATAGTGATAATTATCTGATTATGTTACCATTCTGGAGCATTGTGGTATATTGGTTTTACCTATAGGCCTCACTTACCATCAACTAAATGTAGTTTGTACAACAGTGTTATTTTGCATATACTCAGCTTTAAAAGTCAAATACAAAATTATCTATTTTATGACACAAATGAGCACACTTATGCTTAATGTATTAATAAGTTAGTCACTGTATCTTGAGTTGATTTTCAAATTATCTTTTTATTTTAATGTTTGGCAGTGTTGGAATTCAAACTCAGGGCCTTATGCTTGTTAGGTACACACCCTACTTCTTCAGTTATATTCCCCAATCATTTCCGCATTGTTTTTCAGATAGGATCTCACATTTTTGCCTTGACCAGTCTAGAGTTTGATCTTCCTATTTATGTTTCTCATCTAACTGAAATAACAGGTGCATGCCCCCATAACCAGCTTTTATTGGTTGGGGCTTCCCATGCTCCTGATTTCTGCCTCCAGTGTAACAAGATTATACGCATGAGCCACTGTACCAGACTTCAGATTTTTCTTATAAGATGCACAGGAATTGCATTTACTTAATTACATACTTAAATAAAAATTAACAAGTTAGTGGTGGCACCAAAACTAGAATTTACATTTTTCCTTCTACCTTCTTTGCAAGTGGCAGGTGAAAAAAAGCTCCCCTACTTTTTGGCAGATTCAGGAGATCTTTTAACTAATATTTTATCATGGCAGCCTATGCTGGACCCAGTCATCCTTACTACAATCCAGGATGTGCGGAGTGTGGAGGAAAAAGATCTCAAGGACAAGGTAAATGGTCTCTCTCACCACTTAGACCTTGGTGCCATTTAGTCCATAAAAGCAGAGCTAGGAATTGACTTTTCCCACACCATCAATCTGGATTCTGGTCATACAAAATTCACTTGATAGTAATTTTACATTTCCTGCCTTAAAAATAGTTTTGTAAAACACCACTGGTTGGTGTTACCTTAGTCAATAAGATAAATAAGGTATTCTAAGTAAATGATAAAGTTCAGCATTTTACTAATGTAACCTTAATGGGATACACAGTCGGTATGGAATAAAAGAACTTTAAAACCATGTAGTATTAAAGCTTGTCTAGAAATGTTTAAAGCCATTGTACCATTTAACAATTTCTCCAAAGACCATTCATTTTCCTTTGCTGCTTACTATGTGCTTCACTTCTGTTTACTGTAGTTAATTGGCCAGGATGTGAGATATATTCATACCATTGTTTTCCTGTATTCTTGTGTGTTATGAGCATTGAGATCAGAATGTTTTTACAGTCCTTTTTTTATGTTGTGTTTTGTTGTTGTTGTTGTTTTAATAAGAGATTGGTTAGCATCCCTGAGCTCTTATCTGCCATTAAGTTACTTTGTATGCGCTTCCAACCGGATCTGGTGACAATTGTGGATGACCTTCGACTTGACATTCTACTGCGCATGCTGAAATCACCACATTTTAGTGCTAAAATGAATTCCCTCAAAGAAGTAAGTTCTGAATTCGTTCCTAGAAGACTTAAAATACAGATATTTTTTAATCCTATCAAAACTTGTGGCTATTAATATAAAAATGAGAGTAAAAAACAGTTGCTCATAATCATACAAAAAGAGAATAATGATTATGTAGAAAAGGTCTGTGTGTTTATAATTGTTAGTAAAGTCATCTTAATTGTGTTACTTTCAAAGTTCTCTGACATATTTATGAATTCTATAGCTTAATCCCTTGGGATATGTAGTTTGAAAGTTACTATAGGCCAGTTTGTTTTCTTTTAGAGAGGCATTACTTTGTCTTCTAACTGATGTAAGGACAAAAAACAAAGTGAAGCAGTTTGAACTAAGCAAAACAATGGAATGATTTGCTGTAACCTAAATTAGCATTAGAGCCACACAAACAATGCAGTTGAAGTTTGTGAATAGCAAAAGAAACTGATACTTTCACTTATAATTTAGATATTTTTCCTTTGAATTTTGGGTTATTTATGGTTCTTGGATACAAGTGGAATAAACTCGAACAAGAATTTATTAGGAGATAGGACTGTTTCATTTGACTGAAGGATTGAATAGCCACCTATGAGAGGGCTATGAACATCTAGAATTTGAGACAGCCAGTGTCCAATTCTTGATTCTGTTATACTGAGCATACTGGCCTCAACCCTTTCTCTACCTACAGTGTGGCATCTTTTATATAGTTGAGACACTGACCATCAGTAAGTCACAAGCTTCATACCCTGTATTTCCCATTACCAGAAAGACACTGATACTTCTTGTCTCCATTATTAAATGTGCAAAACAATTCCTGACTGAAGGCTGAGTTAGATGTCATCACTAGGCCAGTCAGCATAGGTATGGGAGCTATAAGAAAGGCTCATATTCATCTTAAAGCATCATCACAAGTAGTAATCTGATGATTTCTAATAACTGTCTTTTGATAAATTTTTGGCTAATTATTAGATCATACAGCAAGACTGAAGATTAGGTATTTTGTGTGAATGTAAATGATTATTCACATTTGATTTAACCATGATAATCCTGTTGTTTTAGGTAACCAAATTAATAGAAGATAGCACTTTATCCAAATCTGTGAAGAATGCTATAGATACAGACAGATTGCTAGACTGGCTAGTTGAAAATTCAGTTCTGTCAATTGCACTAGAAGGTGAGTTACTTTCAAAGAAATAAAAATTACTTGTATGGAATTTCATTTTAAAAGGTGAAAAATTGTTTATTTGAATTATCTTATGCTAAGTTGTTATTGCATTCAATCATTATCCATCATACCTGACTTCATTTCTTGTGCTTTCTCTACTAGGCAACATAGACCAAGCACAATACTGTGACCGTATAAAGGGAATTATTGAACTCTTGGGCAGTAAATTGTCTTTAGATGAGCTCACTAAAATCTGGAAGATACAGGTAAGGTGAACTTTTTTCCTTTTCCTGACAAGTTTAGACTATAGAAGAGGGAGGGTAGTGGTAAATGGTATTGGAACTGGGACCTCTATCTTGCTTTAATCAGAGTAGCTGTACTTTGTTTAAAAGCTTTCTTGAGTATTATGTATTAGGAATGGGTGTATATCCTTTTTGTTGTTGTTTTGTTTTTTGTTTTTTTTCTGGTCCTGGGGCTTGAGCTCTGGGCTTAGTTGCTGTCCCTGAGCTTTTTTGTTTGAGGCTAGTGCTCTTCCCACTTAGGCCATTGTTCCACTTCTCACTTTTTGAAGTTAATTGGAGATAAGAGTCTCACAGACTTTCCTGACCAGGCTGGCTTCAAACCACCATCCTCAGATCTCAGCCTCCTGAGTAGCTAGGATTAAAGGCATGAGCCACCAGCTCTAGGCAGGTGTATATCTTTTATGTGTCCAGTGTTGTTTTTATGACATTGTTGACCACTGTGATCACTTTCTGATTCTCAGCCAGAAACACTTTCCTTCCTTCTGTGTCATTTCCCACCACTACCACCTCTTGGTAAAATGTAAGGAGAAGATAGCTGTCAGGAGACACCGTGAAGTGCAGTTGGCAGGCTCCCAACCCAGTTTTACAGAGTACACTACAGAATCTTAGGAATAGGACTTTTAAAACAAGAAAACAAAAAAGGATCCTTGGTTCTATAGAGTTTTCTTCCCATGTCTGTTTTAGGTTGAATACCTTCATGTAATGCTTTATGAGTGTGTATTTTGAATCTACATAAGGTTGAAGATTAGAGATCACTGTATATATCTATTGGATACGTTCATTGGAAAGTGTAATAGATAATGAGAAAATTAAGAAATGAGTTTACCAATACCTTACTCTGTTTTTCAAGTTTCACTTTTAAAATGTCAATCATAGGTCAAGAGTAAGTCTAAATAACTCTGGTATATACTTACTGCCCATACAAGTCGAAGTCACAAAGTATTTGTTTAAAATAGGGAAAATAATACTCTAAACTGAGACCATCAAAATCATTTATAAAATGCCACATTTGTTATGTAGTTTAATCAGTTTGAATTTTTTAACCTTGTTGAAAATAATTTAGTCTCTTTTTAAAATAAATGTTAAGCAGAGAACTTGATTCTCATTTTCTCACATTGTCCTTTTAATGACTTAATGCTTTTAGGAGTTCAAGTAAAAATCATTACTAATAATAGTCTTGTCAATATTACTGTAAGGGGTTGCTTATTAGTTATATTATTTCTTTTGCTTTATAAACTGCCTGTAAGAAGACAAGTTTTGCCATGCTCGAAGTCTTAACTGTTGTCCTCTTTTCTAGTCTGGACAATCATCTACCGTGATCGAGAACATTCACACGATTATTGCTGCTGCAGCTGTGAAATTTAATTCAGATCAGCTTAATCATTTGTTTGTTCTCATTCAGAAGGTGTGTGTTCAAACTTGCTTAATTTTAAATCTTCCAAAAGACTTCTAAGTTATTTAAGCTCCTTACCCCCACCAGTAGATGAGTTTAGTGAAGCTTGTGAAGCTATTTTGTTTTTTCTGTTGTGTAGAGCTGGGAGACAGAGAGTGATAGAGTACGGCAGAAACTGCTGAGTCTGATTGGAAGAATAGGTCGGGAAGCCCGCTTTGAGACCACTTCTGGAAAGGTAAGAAAATTAAATGAATTTTGTGTTAATCTACAAATGTTTGTAACAGATTTGTGTGCATATCGGCTGACTCATCATAGTGGTGTTATTGTAGGTGTTAGACGTACTATGGGAACTGGCTCATCTTCCAACCCTGCCCAGCAGCCTTATTCAGCAAGCATTGGAGGAGCACCTGACAATCCTTAGTGATGCATATGCAGTGAAGGAAGCAGTCAAGAGGAACTACATCATTAAGTGCATAGAAGATATTAAAAGGGTTGGTTTTTCTCTTTGGTCTAATTTTGTTGTCAAGAGCAACAGTATTGCCTGAACAATTAGAGACAATTAGTTTTCATCCCGTTAGGTAAATCAAATGTCTGGAAGCTCTTATCTTAGAAACTAAATTTAGAAAATACAGATGTGTCCTTATTAAATCATTTAAATGTCTCTTAAAATGAAATTTTCAGCCTGGAGAATGGTCAGGTTTGGACAGAAACAAGAAGGATGGATTCAAGGTAAGAATTTGCAGATGGATCCAACTAAAAGGTACACTAATATAATAATTACCTTCAATAACTTGCATCACAATTTTAAAATAATATATTTTAGTGTTTCTAATATTAGCATGATGTTGATGAGCCATGTTTTATTTAAAGGTTGATAGTTTTAAACGGAAAAATGTGTATGTAGGGCACATTGAAATTTTTATATGGTCTTAATGACATTTCGTAAAAGATTTTAAACAAGTTTTCCACTCTAAAACTAGAAGCAAAGTATATATAATTTTATTAAGTGAAATTGATTCTAAATATTATGCCCATTTTTCTCCAGCCAGGGAGAAATGGAGGAACATTTGTAGATAAGAAAGAAACAAGAGAAGAAGGCGATTATTTGTTGATGGCACATGTTTTTCAGGTGCTTGATTCAAATGTGTTCCTTGGTAATTCCTTAAGCACACACACACAGTTATTGAATGAGTACTTAGTATTGGCCCTCAGTTTTAGAAGATGGAATTAAGTAGCATCTACAAGAGGACTGGGGCTATAAAAACCCTAACTTTAGGACTCTGCCCTTAAGGATGCAGTGAACTTTTGGAATGTCCTTGGAAGTAATAGTTAGCAGATAAAGCAATAATGATGGCAGCACTTCTGTTGCTCCCATCTTTAAACTTAACATCTTTCCACTGAGAGAGTTTATCACAGTGGCTATCTCAATAGAGCACATTACCATTGTTGCAGCAGCCCTGAATTGCGTCTGTAGTTTTCTCCCTTATCTCTCAGGTAGCCCACACAAAACTTGAAGCCTCACTACAATAATGGAATCTAATGTTCTGAATTCCATATTAGTATTAATGTAGGAAGAGTTTCTTTAAAATAGCTAGTGCTTAATATCTCATTGGCCAAATGTATTACTGGGTTTTTATTGGTATTTTTTCAAAGGAGCTGGGATACTGCTAATTTTCATTGGTGTAGTCAGAGACTGTACCTTTGGTGATATAATGGACTTTTTTTGTCTTGAGTTATAGTTGGTCACTGTTCACAGAGATTATTTGGAGGTATTTAAGAATGTTATAGTTCCTATTTCTGACACTGAAATTTCATCAAGTGAATTTTCTGTGTATGATTTAGCTTTAGACATTTTGAAGGATATTCACAAACCAGAGTTAGTTGTAAGAAATAATTCTTTAAATTCAGAAGCCTTACTCTTTCTACGCAATTTTAACTTTTCCCATTTTCTCAGCTCAGTGACTTAGACAATTTAGCAAACTTTCTCCTTGTGATTGAAAGGTTTTCATCAAGTTATTGAAGTTTAGGTTCTACTAGTAACAGTAAGAGGCAAAGGGTCTCTGGTAAAATGGTCTTTTCTTCTCAGCAACACACACTTCTTTTTAGATGTGAAGGTCAAAGCTAAAGGGATCTTCCCTCCATTCAGGGAAATAGCTTTTGGAACCAGAAAATCCTTCTGGGTCTTTCTCCCCCTTGTCATAGTTAGGCATTACCTAACTCTTACAGTCAATCATACCATTGCATCTTTATTACTTCTCTTTGCAGTTACTTCATTCATGTCTTTGTAGCAAAACCCAAAGAGTAACAGGGAAAATTCTAAAGTCCTTTTGTGGGACTTGAAAGGAATATCTTCCTTTTTTAAATTCCCCCACTGCTCCCAATGAAGAAATTTTGATGTACTATTAGTCTCTTCCAATAATATCTTGCATTTTTATATAGCACTAGCCAATTTACTAAGTGCTTTCACACTTAAATACACATTGCTAAAGGGGGGGCAGTGGGAAGATCAAAGCCCCCTGGATATCGCTCCAGGCAGGGGGGTGAAGTATTTACTGCACTAAAGATGTTTTTCTGTGCTATGCCCTTTCCTGCCAGGCAGCAAGGTGGGCTGACTGGGGATTATGTCTCCCTGCCAGGCTACACAGAAACTAAGCAAAGGGTAAGACAAGATCACCCACCTCTTATTCCCCTCCCACCCTCAGCTACCTCTATGCCCCCGACTGATTCCCTTCCCTCTGCTTTTGACACTTTAAAAATTCCCAAGTTCCACTGTTGTGTTCAGAATTTCTGACCTTTATTTAACTGTTTCTGTAGATTCTGCCAAGGTCCCCTCAGCTCCTTTGGTCCTCTTTCTTCCCTTTACTTCTTCTATACCTTCCACTGTCCATCCCAACCCATTCTTTCTTATTTCACTTCTTTTTTTCTTTCAATTAAAAATTTTAAATGTACTCATCCAACAAAATTACTAAAATACCAATTTTTAAAATAGCATTTTTACTCAGTTAGTTGTGTTTTCATATTCTCTAAGTTGTTTTCTTCAGGCCTCCTAGGACAGCCCTGGTAGGTTTTTCAATAAATGTAAGTTCCTCTGCTTATTTTCTACTCACCCTGTGAAGATACTTAAATCCTCCTTTGTACTGGATGAATGTCCTTTTTCTGAAAGGCTTGTGCCAGATGTGTTTCAGACTTTGAGAGTTTTCTATTTTATAATATCTGCATAGACTTCACTCACTGAATATCCCTAATCTAAAATTCTAAAATCCTAAAGAAACTTTTTGAGAATGATTCTGGCATTCAGACTTTAATTTCAAAATTTAGATTTTGAATTAGAGATCCTCAAACTGTATAGTTAAGTTGCCTCAGTTTGCAAGAACATGCAACAGAAAGTAAATGTGGCAAGATTTGTCTCACAATGATGTGCTTAGTAGAGGAGGAAATATCTAAACAATTTCTTCCTAATGTAAGGATTCTTTAGTTGTAGATTAAAAAGCTGCAATAGCAAGAAATGAGGAAGTGAGGATGTTCTGTTTTGAAACAAGAGAACTCAACAAAGAATACGAAAGCATTCTTTGGGTACTTAGAGGACTACTATAGAAACACTTAGTCCAGTTTACTTTTTTTTTTAACTCCTAAGGAGGTATATGGAGACATGTTTCAGTTATCAATGAGCTATCTTTTGAAAACAATCTGAAAACAGTATACACTGCATTCTGAGGTAGTGCATTCCTCATCATTGGAAATAGACCTTAGACATAGGATTATAGGTTAAGCCATTTTACTTCTAAGGCTTCTTCTAATAAGGACATCCCATTAACTCTGAAATCTCAACACCAAAACATCATCAGATATTTGCATTTTCATTGTTTACCACAGTCTTTAATAATTGGAAAAGAATAATTTAAATTTCTCTTGGCAAAATATCATAAATTCGATGGGATAAATAATACTGTATAGTACCTTTACTGATTGTTGCACTTTAAAAGGGCTGTATCAGAATTCTTAAATTTTAATTTTACACAATTTTAAAATCTTTTTATCGTAATTTACCTTCAAAGGGTAATTTTCCATGTTCAGTAAAAGCATTCTAGTCATAATTGACTTAACTGGTCATAATGATACTGTTTAATATAAATGTGTGTCTATTGCTAAAGAGTTGGTATTTACACCTAGTTTTTGTTAGCCTTCTAGAAGGTATAGATTTGGATGTAAGCTCAGTTTACTCATTGTCATTTTGTAGCATATTTTAGCGAAAATTTACTAGTTTCTCAAGTAGTTTCATTTACTATATACCTTATTTCTCTGATTCTAAGATGCCAGTGATTCCAGCCTGTATCATAAAATGAAACTGGATATTTTACTTTTCCCAACTATTGCTGAGATTCATGGTCAGAGGTTGAGTGTAACCTCTTGCTGCCCAGTTAGGTACAGCTTCCCTGTAGCACACTGATAGTCATTATAGTAGTATACAGGAATACTTTGGACCTGCAGAATCCTTTCACATTGGCTGTGGAATTTTGAGGCATGTTGAAGAATGGAGTTTTGTTTGCTACTTTGTTTGCTGCTTTATTACTACTCAAGCTACCTTCTTCCTGACTGATAGATACTTCAAATTAAACAGCTTCTCTTGGATTAAGATGCAGTTTAAAAGAGATAGACAGTGCTGAGTGATATAGCCCTTCTTCACAGGGTATGAATCTTGTCACATCAGCTTCTCGTTTTGAAAAAAATGCTTTAATCTGAGACCATTGACTGCTTACTTTAATTGCAGATTAGTCAGTCTTGCATCATAATGTAACCTTTTTGATAATATTAAGCAACAAATTAGTGAACCAAATTTAAGTTAAAAAATCATCCTCTTCTGAACTTGATAGTACCTGAACACACACCTTTTGTATACAGTTAATTTGCATCCTCATGTTAGAACTGTCAAAACTTACACCCAGATTAGTGATTAATTAGTTTCTTTTGATGAAATTTGTAAGAAGTCAATTTGGAAATGTATATAACTCCTCTATCTTAGAATCCAGGAAATAATGGTATTTACTAATTGGCTGAATCTCCGTGAGACAAGAAAAACATTATAGTTTTTGTCCATAGCTTACACACATTGACGTATTCAGCAGTAACATGTTTTTCTGCAAAAGACTTAAAATTATTTTTCCTCCCCACAGGGGTCTTTTGTAGAAAGAGCCTATAAAACAAGAATGCTTTTAAAACAAAAATTTTAGCTTCTTAAAGACATGTTAAGGACTTAAGATTTAATTGCTTTCTTTTTTAAAAATTAATAACCAGATTATCAACAATATTTAATCTGTTATTCGAAATTTTACAATGAGATTTCATAGTTCAAAGGATACTGCTTTTCTTTTTCAAGAGAAAACAATTTCATGAATGTCAGACTAGATTGTCATGGAGCAGTTTCAGAAATAATATTTTTGAAAATGTTTTGAATTATAAAGTTTAATGTGAGGAAACTAATAATTAATAAAAAAGTATGGGGTTGATAGGGGGATAAATGGGATGTGAGACTGGGGATTGAATCCAGAGCCTTATGTATATTAAGCACATGCTCTGCCTCTTAGTTGTACCCCCAACCCTATTAATACAAATAGTAGTTCTTACATAAATTGTTCTGAGAAATGGAAACATGTTTTCCTTACTATGTAGACCACAGTTAATGTCTTGATTGGATTGTTGCTATCTTAATGATATAATTAAAGAAAGCCTATTCTTAGTCCATTTTGCTTGCCAGCTTGCTGACTATTAGGCTTTCACCATGAATTTATTTTATTTTGTTAATATGTCTTAAGCAGCCTGTGCTACTTAATCTATCCTCTGAAGTTGCTAATTCCTTGTTGTCTGTTTTTTGCTGGTACACTCCTATACATTTACTGTCATTTCACATCCACTCCTGTTTGCAGTTGTTGGCCTTAAGAAATTGCATGCAGAATAAGAAGTTGAAGACTGAATTAGGAGTGCATGAAGATAAGCTATGAATTAGCAGTATGAAGAGGAAAATAATAGAATGTTTAACAATAAAACCTAATTGACTTGAAAATTTTTTGTAGCTAATACACAAATCTGTTGTTTATCTCTAAATTTATTTAATATAACTTCTTCTTAACTCTAGTCATCTCAGCTTAGTAACCCCCAGTTTGTGTGGGTGGTGCCAGCTTTACGTCAGCTCCATGAAATCACCCGCTCATTCATAAAACAAACATATCAGAAGCAAGACAAGGTAAGAGTATAGCTACTTTGGATTACTGTAATTACTTTTGTAACAAAATAAGGCTAAAATTTTTTAGTTTATTGTCACTGTCTTTTATCATTGTGGTTATTATTAATGCAATTTAAATCATTTGATAATCTTGAAATTAAGTATCTATGGTGTTATTCTTGTGGTATATCCTTTACTCCTTTTGTTTTTGTTTATTTTTAGAAATAACTAAGCCAATTTTTTTAAATGTAAAAGCTTTTGTTTTGTTTTGTTCTATTGTTGGTCATGGGGCTTGAACTCTGGGCTTGGACGCTGTCCCTGCACTCTTCAGCTCAAGACGAGCACTCCACCGCTTGAACCACAGTGCCACTTCCGGTTTTCTGAGTGGTTTATTGTACTCATGTACTTTCCTGCCCGGGTTGGCTTTGAACTATGATCCTCAGATCTCAGCCACCGGAATAGCTAGGATTATAGGTGTGAGCCATCAGCGCTCAGCTTTTGTAAAAACTCATTTTATATTGCAAAAAGATTACTTGGCCTAAAGAACTAGTCTTTCTTTTCTCAATGTTGTAGACCTAGGAAGAAAGATCTAGAAAAGTGACAGGAACTGAAAACTCAAAACTCTTTTAGATGTAAAAAGTTAACTAGTATCTTTATTCCCTATTAAATGTACATACCGGATTGATTTTGTTTACTATTACAAAAGAAATGTGAAGAAATAATCTTTGTTTTTTCCCTCACATGAAATTAAAACTGAAAATAGAAGTTCTATTAAACCTACAAAATTTTCATACCACTCTTCTTTGTTATTTCTTTCAAGAGCATTATTCAAGATTTGAAGAAAAATTTTGAAATAGTGAAACTGGTAACAGGAAGTTTGATAGCTTGTCATCGACTTGCAGCAGCTGTAGCTGGACCTGGAGGCTTGACTGGTTTGACCCTAGTAGATGGCCGATACACTTACCGGGAGGTATCAGGCACTGTGTTTTTATTTCATGATTTTCAGCATTGACTTGACTCTTTTCTGCTTGAACTGTAAAAGTCATGCTTGGTGGGTATAACCATAAAGAAGGAACATGAGCTTTTCTGCTCAAGGCTAGCACTGTTCCACTTGAGCCACAGTTCTTTTTCCAGGTTTTTGGTAGTCAATTGAAGATAAAAGTCTCACAGACTTTCCTACTGGGGCTAACTTTGAACTGTGATTCTCAAATCTTTGTCTTTTTTATTTTTTTATTGTAAAGATACTATACAGAGGGTTACAGTTACATGAGTGAGGTAATGAGTACACTTCCTCTTGAACATTGTTACCCCCTCCATTGTTTTCCCCCCACCATCCCTTCCCTCCCTACCTTCCCCGGGGTTCTTTTTTTTTTTTTTTTGATTGTGATTGAGTGTCAAATCTTTGTCTTAAGTAGCTAGGATTACAGGTATGAGCCACTGGTGCCAGCTATCTTTTTAAGATGGAACAATTTAGTTTTTTGACAATAATTTCAAATTGACGTTTAGAAAAATATTTGTGACTTAATATTTCAATACTATCTAAGAATTGCCTATAATAATAAGATTAGTTTTTTTGTTTGTTTGTTTTTTGGGTCCAGTCATGGGGCCTGAACTCTGGGCCTGGGCGCTGTCCCTCAGCTCTTCAGCTCAAGGCTAGCACTCTACCACTTGAGCCACAGCGCCACTTCCGGCTTTTTTCTTTTTGCTTATGTGGTGCTGAGGAATTGAACCCAAGGCCTCATGCATGCAAGGCAAGCGCTCTACCACTGAGCCACCTTCCCAGCCCCTAAGATTAGTTTTTGTCTTCAGTATCTGTAGATAATGAGTTATGCCTTTTAAATAAACTTAACTGGTAGTTTTTCAAAAATCTTAGTCTTTTATTTGTAAGTTTGTGATGTTTTACTTTCAAATTACTGGAATTAAATGTTACTGACATTTAGAAACAACTGAATTTGTAATAGATTTGAGGAAGTGTCTTTGTTTCAGTGTTTCTTTTAGGTATGGAGGCCTAAAGTTAACAGATTCATATTATTTCTTTTTGCAGTATTTAGAGGCACACCTGAAGTTTCTAGCATTTTTCTTGCAAGAAGCCACCCTATATCTTGGGTGGAACCGAGCCAAGGAAATCTGGGAGTGCCTTGTGACTGGACAGGATGTTTGTGAATTAGATCGAGAGGTAAGAAGGTAGGATTGTAGTTAAGTAAGGCAAAGGTATTTACACACTTCACTCTTTTTTTCATCTCAAATTTTTTTTGTACCTCATACCTTAAATTTCCAAATACTTTTCAGTTTATATAAGCATTGATTGGTAAATTACCAATACTGGAAAAGATGTTTTGTGAAATATATATCCCTGATATAAATGAATGTGGGAATTTTTGGATGATTTTTATATCATTCTGAACAAAATACCAAATTCAACCAAAAGTGTACAGATGAGGAATTAAGTATATATTTTAATTCCCTGCCTTGAGTTCCCCGCCTTGATGTTGTATCCTAGTAACACTTAAGGAAAAGCAGCTTGTCAAAATTATAATAAACCAGGAGCATAAATACTTGCTTTGATGTTTGCTAACAATTAGTCTCACATGTCATTGTTACAGAATCATATTAATTCCTTCATAGGATTGTTGAGAGGACTAAGTACATGACAATAGCTAGCACCATGCTTGGCACTGTAAGGCTTAAAAAATTGATGGAAAATCCACAGTATGAGTGTAAATTTGGATTGACTGGGGAAAAGATTGTAGCAGTTTTTTATTTAACTTCATAATTGCAAACATTTCAAATTTGAGTGACATGTGACAATTAAATAAGCATTAAAAGATAATGTCTTTTGCTTTCCCCGTGTGCTGTGAGTTTTTGCTTAGAAAGGAGTTCGGTTTTTATAGGATCATTTCCGTCTTAATCCACAGATGTGTTTTGAGTGGTTTACAAAAGGTCAGCATGATCTTGAGAGTGATGTTCAGCAGCAACTCTTCAAGGAGAAAATACTAAAATTGGAGTCATATGAAATCACTATGAATGGTAAGCAAACTTACACATTTTATAATCCCACTAGTAAAGAGCTGTAAGCATGGCTTAAGCATCTGCCTAACAGGCTAGAGGTCCTGTGTTCAACCCCCAAGTCCATCCTAACAGCAGAAGAAAAACAAACAAATAAACATGAACATAATCCTACTGAAAATACATGGTTCTAGTTTCACACACTCAGCAATAGTTAAGATTGTCTCGCCTTATTTTTTTATAACACCTAGTAGGTGTGAGGCAGTATGTTTTCTCCCCGATGCATAATGATACTAAGAATCTGCCTACTCTGATTTCTTGACTATTTGCATATATCTTTTAGTAAAATATCTGTTCAACTCCTTTGCCCATCTTTTTATTGAGTTGTTTGTCTTTTGATTGTTGAGTTGTAGAAGTTCTTTTCAAATTTTGGATACAGTTACATTTTTTGCAAATCTTCCTATTTTGCTTGTATCATTTTCCTGATTGTGTCCTTTGAAACACTGGTGTAGATTTTGATTACATGCAATTTACCTGTATTTATACAAAAGGTTGTCAATTTAACATATCTACTTATGTTTAAAGTGCACCTTGATGTCTGTATATTTCTAGTGCTTGTGGGATTTTAAATTATCTTTCTTTCTTTGTGGAGTGAGTTCATGCTAGTATCGGGGCATGACTTCAGGGCCTCCTGTTCTTTTTATACTGTTTCCACTACTGCGTGAGTCACTCTTCAGTTCCAAATGTTTGTTGGCTAATTGGAGATAAGAGTCTCAGATTTGTCTACCCTACTGATCTCTTAACTGGAATGCTCAGATCTCAGGTCCTGAGATCTAGCTACAGTATTATAGGTGTAATCCACTACACTTGACTGTTTATCTTTCTGAGATAGGGTCCAAGTGTGTTGCTCAGGCTGATTTTGGAACTCTTAGTCTTCCCATGTCGCTTTACAATAGCTGCTTGTGCTTTTGATACCATATCTAATAAACTGTTGCTAAGAATTTTGTGTTTTAAGCTGCTGACCCACTTGAATCTTTTCATTGACTTTCAGCGTTACTTAGAGTATAGAATTTATGTGACATTCTATAATTTCAGGTTTTAACTTATTTAAGACTTTTTTTGAAAATGTGAATCTCTGTGATCATCGATTAAAAAGACAAGGCGCTCAATTGGTAAGTACATTGTTCTCAAATCCAGATAATTTAGATTATCTATTTGATACTTAACAAAATAAACAACAAAACTCATGTGTCCTAATTGAAAGAAAACGTGTGCATTGTCAGACGTCTCTCTTTCAGATGCCCTGGAGGCTCCCTGTCCAGTACAGCCTCACCTAACCAGCCTCACCTAACCAGCCTCACGAAGGATCATGCTTTCTCCTCATAATTAACTTGGCTTCTTTTTATCAAGGGGCAGTGGTGCCCTCTTGTGGCTAGGTGAATATTGAAAGGGAATAGTTTCCTATCTAGGCATCCAATTCATCTGTACCTAAAGTCACAAGAGTTTTCAGTTCTATGATCTCAATAGCAGGGATTGCAGAGTAAATTTTTTTTTCTTTTTTTTGGTCATGGGTCCTGAACTCTGGGCCTGGGCACTATCCCTCAGCTCTTCAGGTCAAGGCTAGTACTCTACCACTTGAGCCACAGCACCACTTCTGGCTTTTTCTGCTTATGTGGTACTGAGGAATCAAACCCAAGGCCTCATGCATGTAAGGCAAGCACTCTGCCACTGAGCCACCTTCCCAGCCCTGCAGAATAAATTTTAAGAAAAATGAAGCAGGAAAACGGGAATCTGTACAACATATATAGCTTACATTTATTTACATGTATCCTTAAAAAAAATAAAAGCAAGGCAGACACTGATGCCTCACATCTGTAATCTGGCCTACTCAGGAGGTTGAGAGCTAAACTTCTCAGTTTGAAGTCATCCCAAGCAAAAATAAATCCAAGACCCTAATCTCCAGTTATTTACCAAAAAGCCAGAAGTAGAGTGTGGCTTAAATAGTAGCCATTCTTCAACAGATAATGCAAGGCTCTGAATTCAAGTTCTAATACTGGTGATAATTGCAAAAATAAGGTCCTTTCAATTATGTCCTGTCTTCTTAGAGTGGTCAGAATATTTATAAGGTCTGGTAAACTCTGGATCCTACTTCTTCTACCTTATCTTTGGAAATACCCAAGTTAAGAACATGAATTTGTAGCTACTTCTAGCTTGATGCTCTTCCTTTTGAAGAAAAACTCACAAAGATGGTTGCTATCTCACTTCTTCATGGTTTCTGTATCAATAGCCTATTTGGATAAATGTCCAGCTTGGGTTCAAGAAGTGTCTACAGAATCATCTCCATGGTTTACATGGAGTTATCCATGGTTTCTGTAGTTGGTAGATTTTTGTTTTAAAGTTTCATATCAGTTTAGTAGTGTTTTCACTTATAGCTAGCTTTTTGCAGCCTTAATTCATTATTGAACTGAAGAATTTCAGAATCATAATGTAACAGAAAGCTATTATCTATATATTTTTTTTTGTCGGTCGTGGGACTTGAACTCTTGGCTTGGGCGCTGTCCCTGCGCTCTTCAACTCAAAGCGAGTGCTCTACCACTTGAGCTATAGCGCCACTTCCAGTTTTCTGGTGGTTTATTGAAGATAAGAGTCTCACGGACTTTCCTGCCCAGGCTGGCTTTGAACCGTGATCCTCAGATCTCAGCCTCCTGAGTAGCTAGGATTACAGGCGTGAGCCACCAGCGTCCGGCTTATTATCTATAATTTTGTGATCCTACTTTGCTATATAACTTTATTTAAACATAATTTAATGTTTTTATTTTGAACAGTATGTTGAAAAATTGGAATTGATAGGAATGGATTTCATTTGGAAAATTGCCATGGAATCACCTGATGAAGAAATTGCCAATGAAGCTATTCAGTTGATCATAAACTACAGTTATATTAATCTAAATCCTAGGTTAAAGAAAGTGAGTATCCAAGGAAAGAAGTTAGTACTACACAAAAATGCAGAAAATGTATGTTTTTATTGATAAGTTCTAATCCTTGGTATATCGTTAAATTGTCCTATTTATTTTGCTGTTTTCTTCTGAGTAATCATTACAACTAAATGCCAAAACCTCATTTTTAATTTCCATGTATCTTCCCCTTTCTTGTTTTGTTTCTTCTTCCTACCTGTGTAGTTGCAGACACTTTTTTCTTTATTAAATAGTTGTACAAAGGGGTTACAATTTCATATGTCAAGTTATGAGTACAAATGTTTCTTGATTAGTGTCACCCTTCCTTCATTCTCTCCCATCTCGACTCTCAAGTTACATAGTTCATTTTTTACCTAATATGCATTGAATATAATGACCACTTTTGCTCATCTTTCCTCCTCCCATTCCTGTAGGATTCAGTGTCCTTACATAAGAAGTTTATTGCGGATTGCTATACAAGATTAGAAGTGAGTAATAAGTTTTATTTAACCTGTAAATTAACTTTTTTCCTGTATGTTTTTAGATGATGTGTAATGTTGATGTTTGTGGCTAGATCCTATTGGAGAATTTACCAAAAGTACTATGTTATACTATAAAAGTTCTGTATTTTGGCTTAAGGAACAGACATTTGTCTTGATGCCTTTTTTGTGGAAATATACTTTGTAGGAAATCTTCTTCCCTTTATGTTCAGAAACAGGGCAATATATTCCACATTGCTTCACTCATATGCTTCCCAGCATTCACATTTGTAATAATAGTCTTGCCTTTTTTCTGTGCAGGAATTTTCTGCATGGACTTGCTTCTTTTCCTGTTCTTCTCTGTTTTACATAGTTTTTATAATTGCTATTAAAGACCACAGCAGCTGGGCACCAGTGTCTTATGCCTGTTTTCCTAGCTACTCAGGAGACTGAGATCTGAGGATTGCAGTTCAAAGCCAGCCCAGGCAGGAAAGGCCATGGGACTCTTTTCTCCAATAAACCACTCAGAAAACCAGAAGTGGTGTTGTGGCTCAAGTGGTAGAGTGCTATAGCCTTTAGCTGAAGAGCTGAGGGACTGTGCCCAGGCCCAAAGTTCCAGCCCCATGACCAACAAAACAAAAAGACCACAGCACTCAGTAGTCTTGAGTAGTTTTGTCCATTGGAAGCCTGCTGTTTAATACTAGCTCATTTGTTTTACTGCTTTATTTCTAGCACAACCATTAAAGCATTAAATACTCATTTTCAGTTGAAATTTGTGCTTAAGCTTTGTATCTAATAAGGAGTATTACAAAAGCATAACTTATTGTCACCAGATGTCAGTTAGTTAATCTTCCTGGTAACAAATATGTACTATAATCTATACAATAATGACTTCTGTCAATTATGTCATAAAAATTCAAATATTCATATTCTCCTGTAGTTCTCATCTGACTCTTAGTTTGCCTCCCAGTGATAAGTTAGTAATGTTCAGTGACTTTTTTCATCGTCACAACCAGAAGGTGTCCCATTGTAAGAGGCCGAGTATTTGGCTCCAATTTCTGTAGTACCCAGGACTGCCTTCTGCAACAAAAATTACCAACCTATAATCTATAATCATTTTATTATGTTTTATAATAGGCAGCTAGTTCAGCACTTGGTGGCCCCACTCTAACACATGCTGTGACCAGAGCAACAAAAATGCTTACAGCAACAGCCATGCCAACTGTAGCAACATCTGTTCAGTCTCCATATAGGTAAGTAGTTATAGAAGTGAAAATAAATCACTCATACAACACATGAATACACATTTATTGGTTGCAGTGGTATGTTTCTTTCCCCCAGGAATATTTATTTATTGGTTTTCTTATTGTATATCTTAACATTTATAAGCACTCACATTTTGGAGATTATAAGTTCCCCATCATGTACCCCAAATCTCTGTCTCAAAGACCTGCAGGTCATCATCAGAATCACCCAATATTTCTTTGCTCCTACCATTGTGTTTTGTAGAAATGTATCTCATTGTTTTTATTTTATAGTACTTTAATTCTGTATACCGTGGGTAGCTTTCTCTTTAGGACAGAATAAAGATGTTTTTATTACATGAAGAATAAACATAGTGGGCTGGGAAGGTGGCTCAGTGGTAGAGCGCTTGCCTTGCATGCTTGAGGCCCTGGGTTCGATTCCTCAGCACCACATAAAAAAGAAAAAAGCCGGAAGTGGTGCTGTGGCTCAAGTGGTAGAGTGCTAGCCTTGAGCTGAAGAGCTGAGGGACAGCGCCCAGGCCCAGAGTTCAGGCCCCACGACCGGACCCCCCCCCCAAAAAAAAAGAATAAACATAGTCACTTAAAATATTTGCCGAAAATCTCTTTCTGAAATAATTTTTGGTGAAAACATTTATCCTTACTTATTAAAACTTCAGGTTGATGTCTCTTATTTAAATTGCCTACTTTTAGAGTTGTAAGATATTATCTGTGAAATCTGAGTTTACTGTTTGCTTAACTTCTTTAAAGTAGAAAGGAGAAGTGAGGAATGTTTTCAGAGCATAGTAACTAGTTTCAAGTGACTAAGATAGCCTGTGGGGTTTTCTGAGCGGAATTCATTAGGTAGTACCAGTCACGGATTCCCCCAGAACCACAGTAGGCCTTAGAGTAAGGCTTGTGCTTTGTGCGTTGCTCTGCTATCCTCTGGTGCTAGGACTTATGTATTCCCCCTAAGGTCAGTTTTGTGTAGAGATACTTAGGAACATGGACTATATCCTGGCTCATATTCTTCTTTTTAAATAATTTTTAAAATGTGTTCAATATTGTGTTGCTGCATTACTGTGAAAGAAACAATTCAGACTTCACTTTTTTTGTGGGGGGGAGGGGGTGTCTGGTCGTGGGGCCTGAACTCTGGGCCTGGGCGCTGTCCCTCAGCTCTTCAGCTCAAGGCTAGCGCTCTACCACTTGAGCCACAACACCATTTCTGGCTTTTTGTTTTGTTTTTGCTTTATGTGGGGCTGAGGAATCGAACCCAGGGCCTCAGGCATGCAAGGCAAGTGCTCTACCACTGAGCCACCTTCCCAGCCCCAGACTTCATTTTTTAATGGCAGAAGTGGTTATAGATTCCATGTAGGATTTGGAATACTCACGTTTTTCTATTCTCATGGTCTTGAAACAAAGTACTTCATTAAGAATAAACTTCTTGCTGGGTGCTGGTGGCTCATGCTACTCAGGAGGCTGAGATCTGAAGATCACAGTTCAAAGTCAGCCTAGGCAGGAAAGTGTGAGACTCTTATCTCTAGTAAAATACTCAGAAAAAACGCTAGCCTTGAGCAAAAGAAGCTGAGAGACCGCACCCAGGCCCAGAGTTCAAGCCCCAAGACCAGAAAAAAAAAAAAAAAGAGTAGACTTTATTAAGAATTCTCTGTTACACATTTGTGAGATGTACTCAGTTACTTAGAGGTCTCTCAGTTACTAAGTTCATTAACAATTTATCAGATAAATCATTCAGAAACTATTGGATTGGAATTTCAAACTACTGTTTCTTAAAATGAATGTACTTATTTTTCTTCTTGCTTGTTTTTTTATTCTGAATCACTTAAATATTTGGCTGACTGTAGGGGAAAAAGCACATTTTTTAATTGTCTTGTTATAGATCTTAAGTTGAGTTCATAATACAATTTCACAGTTGGATTTCAACCAGAGCATTGTAGTTTATCTTATTTTAACATTTTTGAAAGAAGTTTTTGACATTCCCCATAATCATTCCAATTCGGAGGGGGATAGAACATGAATTACAGGTTCTAGAAGAATTTAACTCAGACATGTTCATTAGAGCTTATGTGCTTAATCACATTGTTATGTTGGTACTGAGGTTTGAACTCAGGGACTCATACTTGCTCGAGCAGCTGGCACTCTACCAGTTGTCCTCCAGCTTTATGCTAGTTCGTTGGAGATGGAGTCTTACAGACTTTTCTTCCCCAGGTGGCTTTGAATCTCCATCCTCTTGGTCGCAGCCTCCAAGTAGCTAGAATTACAGGTCTGAACCATTGGTACCCAGCCAGATTTAATTTTCAAATAGCATATCTACTGGTTTGTATTTGTCTCCCACTTTTCAAATACTTCAGAACTTTGTCAAATTCCTTTGTTTACAGAATTTTGTGACACGTATAGTTATGAGGGTCAGATTCTTAATTGTTTATCTTTGGTGATTGATAGTAGATAGACCTGGAGACTCAGGTCCTCTATTTCTAAAGCCCTGGTTTGAAAAATGAAAGGAAGAAAGGAAATGTGAGAGGAACAGTCCTTTCCTCCCTATTCTGTCTGCACTATGTTGTGAGTAGGTGAATCCACCTCCTCATTGGGCGAAAGGGAAGTTTATAATCTTTGCAGATTTCAGATTTGACCATTGACTACTAATTATTATAGTTTTGGTAAAAAAAATAGCAGAATTGAGCAGAACTCAACAGTTCATTTAAAATACATTTTAAAGTTTGTTACTTTCCTTTAATCTGTAGATCCACAAAACTTGTGATAATTGAGAGATTACTTCTTCTGGCTGAACGCTACGTGATCACAATAGAGGTATGCATTGGTTTTTATTTTTTTATGCAACCTCATTCATCATTACTAGATAAAGGTATGTTAAGTATATGTTTTTTGACGTGTTTTCTAATGGAATAATGCATCTGACTTAACTTTTTTTCCAAGGATTTTTACTGTGTTCCACGAACTATTCTACCTCATGGTGCATCATTTCATGGACATATTTTAACTCTTAATGTTACTTATGAGTCTACCAAAGATACTTTCACTGTAGAGGTAAGTTTACATGAAGTTCTGTAGCCATTTTCATGATTTGTTATTTGTCATTTTTGTTAAGAACAGTGTTGATGGTGATAGCTGCATGAGTCATGGCTATAAATGTGAAATGAAACTGAAGTACACGCAGCTAAATAGATAAATACATAACATAATAGCAAGTGATTATAGTGTTGTAAAGAAAAAGAGTAGGCAGGATAACTTGGCAGAAGGTGTTAGATATACATGGGCTGTTTTAGATAAAGATAGATCTCTGAGATGGTAACATTTGAGCTAAGATTTGAATAAAGTGACAAAGTAAATAAATGGTGCTTATTTAGAACAATCCAGGCAAAGGGAACAGTATGTACCAAAGCCTACAAGATGGTTGGCATAAATGGAGCACAGTGAAAAGGGAAGGAGTGGCAGGCATTGCAGAAAAGGGAGAGTTTGAGATTCCATATCTCTAATGATGGATTGGAAAGAGAATGAAACAGACTATTTAATGCTGGCATAAGCATAAGGGACGCCTTGAAAGTCAGGGCTTCTCAGTTTCTAGCTGCGTTTCTAGCTTCTGAAATAATAAATGTGCAATAAGTGTTGTTTAAAAAATAAGTAAATACATTCTGTCTCACCAATGTTGGGTTGTGTTTTACAGGCCCACAGTAATGAAACAATAGGCAGTGTCCGGTGGAAGATAGCAAAGCAGTTGTGCTGTCCTGTGGATAATATACAGATATTTACAAATGATAGTCTGGTAAGTTTAAATAGTAGCTGACACTTTAGTGATACTTTCTTCTTCTTGCTCTCTCAGTAATTAAAAACTTCACTTTTTTGTAGCTGACAGTGAATAAAGATCAAAAGCTCCTCCACCAGCTGGGCTTTTCTGATGAGCAAGTCCTTACAGTAAAGACCTCTGGCAGTGGGACCCCTTCTGGGAGCTCAGCAGACTCCTCAACCAGCTCTAGCAGCAGCAGCAGTGGAGTCTTTAGTTCATCGTATGCCATGGAGCAGGTACTGGGGATCAACCTTAATAGAGACACAGGTCTTTTCTCAGACAACTTAGAACTTTAGAACTATGTAATGAGGACTGTTGGCATTCAGGTTGGGGGAGATGTAGAACTTACAGTCTTCTGAGTGGTAGTGGCTAGTCTTTCAGAACTAATATTTATATGGTTTGTACCTTCAATTATAAGCAGAGAAAATTCTTCTTGTAAGTGTATATTTATATTTTCCCTTTTTCCCTCAGGAGAAATCCCTTCCTGGTGTAGTGATGGCTCTTGTGTGTAATGTGTTTGACATGCTCTACCAGCTTGCCAATCTAGAGGAGCCAAGGTAAATATGAGTACTTGTGAAGCTTGAAAAAGAGAGTTATTGAGGTTAATGAGCCAGGGAACTGTTTTTACTTGGAGTGTATTTCACTATACATACAAAATGACTTTGTTAATGTAACTATGGCTTATATTAAAGAAATTAATATTTGACTTTTTTTTTTCAGGATAACGCTACGAGTACGAAAGCTTCTGCTGTTGATACCTACTGATCCAGCCATTCAGGAAGCCCTTGACCAACTTGATTCATTAGGCAGAAAGGTATGCATATCTAAAATAGCTATTTAACTAGCATGTAAATTTTATGTCATGATTCAGTGAAAACAACATGAACTCACGTAAGGGTCATTGTCTTTTGAAAATTACTATTGCCCTAAATGGGTATCCGAACTTCATGTTTGTTTTTAAATTGTCTAGAGTCAATAGTGAGATCAAATATTAGATCAAATATTAAAATGTTATCTTATTTCCCTTCTTGATTTGTATAAGGAACTTGAAGCCCAAAGACCTATTGTTACTAGTCAAGGGTCAGACTCCAATTCTTATTTCATTGAAAATGTTTTTTTCTTCTCATGATGCTTTTCTAGGCCTGATTATTGAGTTGTTTATATAAATGAATTATTGGTTTTTTTTTTCACGTTTTAAAGTTCATTTTAACTGTACATATTGTTGCATACCTATAATCCCAGCACTGTCGAGGCAGAGGAAGGAGGATTTCAAGTTCAATTCCAGCCTGTGTACCCAATGGGACTATGTCTCAAAAACAAAAACAAAATACAAGTGCTGGGGACACAGCTCAGTGATGGAGTGCTTGCCTAGCATGTGAATGGCTGGGTTCATCCCAAGTTCCACAACAAAAAACATAATAGTCAACTTCAGTTTGCTTATTTTTTTATAGAGTTATTCCTTAAGAACTTTATAAAGAAATTGTGTTTTATCCATCTTATTGTTTAATTATATCCTAAGAATAAATTCACTTAGAACAAATTAATTTGAACTGAATTTTGTATCGTGTATTTTAGTGTTTGAAATTTAAATTAGCTTTTTGCTTAGGTGTGCATTTGAGAAGGAATTAATATAATTATAAAATATGTCACTAATGTTAGCTAAAAAGTAATTCTCAAGACAATTGCTTTAGCAATCCTATAATTTAATTACCAATATTTAGTAGTACAAATTTTAAACATTAAAATAGTTACAATGACATTGCTTGTATTAGTTAGAATGCATTCTTAAAATCATGTGTTAGACCTGACTAATGTTGAACACAGTTGTATGGTGAAGTTTGATGTTTTACTAATAATTACAGAATTATATGGCCTTAGGACACTAATTTTTTTAGAAACAATGTGACTTAAGGAGAAAAAGAATATTAGAATATGCATTATCTTCTTGAATTTTTGCTTTTAATGTATTTATATCTTTTTTTCATTTAGAAAACATTACTTTCTGAAGCAAGTTCTCAGTCTTCAAAATCTCCATCCCTCTCTTCAAAGCAACAGCATCAGCCCAGTGCCACTTCAATCCTAGAAAGTCTCTTTCGATCTTTCGCTCCAGGAATGTCTACCTTTAGAGTACTCTACAACCTGGAAGTAAGAAATTTCATTTACGTTATTTCACTTTGACAAAAAAACTCATTATTTCAAATTTAAAAAAGCTTTTGAGGAATTATAACAAATAATATTTGCATTATTATTATTAGTCCACTTACAATGGAGACAGTTAGAGTTCTGGAGGTTGGGAAGGCTAAGACCAAGACAGTGGTAGATCTGGGGTCTGGTGAGGGCCTGCTCCCTGCTTCATAGATAGCTGTCTTGCTGTGTCCACACTTGGCAGGAAGGGAACAAATGAGCTCTCCAGAGTCTTTCCTTTTATTTTAGGTTGGGGAGACAGTACTGGGGATTAAACTCAATGCCTTATACTTGCTAGGCTCCCAAGGCTTTGGATCTCTTTTATTTTTTTATTTTTTTCTGGGTCCGGTCGTGGGGCCTGAACTCTGAGCCTGGGTGCTGTCCCTCAGCTCTTGAGCTCAAGGCTAGCACTCTACCACTTGAGCCACAGTGCCACTTCTGGCTTTTTTTTTCTCTGCTTATGTGGTGCTGAGGAATCGAACCCAGGGCCTCATGCATGCAAGGCAAGCACTCTACCACTGAACCACCATCCCAGCCCCTTGGGGTCTCTTTTATAAAGGCACTAATTCTGTTTATGAAGGCTTTACCTTCATGACCTAATCACTTTCCAAAGTCCCTACTCCTAGTATCTCCACCTTCTGTCTCCCCCAATTTCAATGTGATACAGTCTATAGCAACTATCCATGTCCCTGAAAGGAGCCTTAAATTAATAGGTTTACTGTGTTTAAGTAAACATTTACTACTTGTTTACTATGTACAAGTCATTGTGGTAGTTAAAGGGTCAAAAGTTGAAAAGACAGATACTTGCTCCTAGATTTATGATTAAGATATATAGGAGTCTGTATACATTGAATCTGGAAAGCAAACAAAACAAGTGAAAAAGTGACCAGGTATAAACATTTCTGCTCTTGGAAAATGATGGATCATATTCTTTTAGTGCTTGAGTCATGTAGAAAATTGCCTAGAAATATTTGGCTAACTTAAGCTCATCTTACAATTACTACAATTAATGTTAGATTTATCATCTGCTTTTGGATGATTGTCTCCAAAAGAATTAAAATACAATCCTGTCTCCACCAATAGGAGCAGCTAAAGAAACAGTGGAGATGGGGGTAGCTTGTTATGAGCCACTAAAATTACATTATTTTGAGTCAAAACATTAGGTGGGCACCAATGGCTCACACCTGTAATCCTAGCTACTCAGGAAGCTAAGATCTGAGTATTGAGGTTCATAGCCTCCCCAGGCAGGAAAGTACATGAGACTCTTAACCACCAAAAGAGCTGAGACTCAAGAGGTAGCCTTGAGCAAAAAAGCTTTGGGACAGTGCCCAGGCCCTAAATTCAAGTGCTGGTATGGAATGGGGGATGGCGGGGGAGGGGAAGTATAGTAATATCAATAGTATCCTTTTAGGACTATAGAGTAATTGAATGGCTTTGACAAGTGTATTTTGCTTTTGATATACAACATATTTTGAAAACTTGGCAAAGTACTTGTTTTTGTTGATACCTGAGTGGTTAGTTTCCTTGTTTCCTTGTATTTTGTTCATTCACTTGTTTGACCAACAAAAAATACCTCAAAACAGATACTCCAAGCAGCTATTCCTGAGAAGAACCTATGATTTTCACTAAATTATTGTCCATTAAGTATGAAGAGTATGATCGTGTAAATAAAAAGCTGAGTGAGCACAGGAAGAAAGGGAAGAGCAGAGGGCCCCCTTTCTCCTACATAGTGCTCGTCCTGAGATTGAGGAGTCCTTTTCCCAAAAAGCACTCTTGGAACAAAGTATCTCTAATACATTGAAAATCCCAATTAGAAATCAAGTTCATAACCACAGAAGCAGATTTTTTTTTACATTAAAAAAGGATCTTGAACTATAGTAACTTAAAACTGAAGCAGTAAGAGATTTTTAAATCATAAGTAAACTATTGTTTCCAGAGCAATTGTTTTTTGCTAGTGCTTGCACTGAGCACCTCAAACCTGTATTTTACATAATCTAAGCATTCCTCTGATGAGTCTCATTATAATTCTCCTTTACCCGATGGGCAAACCAGGGAGAGGATCTATGATCTCTCAGTTCCTAGCTGGTCAAATTAGAATGTGAATTAAATTTTTAGTTGTACTATAGTATAATTGTGTGACAGAACTCTCTAATTCACCACAATACTTTGTTAAGCTTTTCTTTAAGTAGGCATTGCAGTTGTCAGAAAGGGACTTAGATATTAGAATGACACACATCCAGATTTTATTTTTTATTTTATTTTATTTTTTTTGGGTCCGGTTGTGGGGCCTGAACTCTGGGCCTGGGCGCTGTCCCTTAGCTCTTCAGCTCAAGGCTAGCGCTCTACCACTTGAGCCACAGCGCCACTTCCGGCTCTTTTCTTTTTGCTTATGTGGTGCTGAGGAATCGAACCCAGGGCCTTGAGCATGCAAGGCAAGCACTCTACCACTGAGCCACCTTCCCAGCCCAAACACATCCAGATTTTAAATCTAATCATATGACTGAGTAGGTGTCAGTCTCTGATCTCAGTCCCCTGAACAGTACAGTAAATCACATGTGCATTGTAGAAACTCAATGAACTGGGCTAGTTTCATAAGGGAGATTGCAGGGTACTGTTATTTAAAACTTCAGCTTTTGTACTAGTTTATTTTGCCATACTTGAGTTTGAACTCAGACTTCCTGCTTGCATGGCTTGCTGGCTTGGCTATGCTCTACCACTTGCGCCATGCCTCCAGTCCTGCTTTTTGATAGTTAATTGGAGATAGAGTCTTGAGCTTTCTGCCAAGGATGGCTCTTTCAAACCACAATCATTCAAATCTTAGCTTCCTGAGCACCTAGAATTATAGATCTTAGGTACCAGTGCTTAGCTGTCTGGCCCTTTTTTTTTTTTTAAGCACATATAGCATATCACATAAAATATTCTGTGAACTAGAAGGTCAGGGACTTGCACACTTGTGAATTCCATGAAAAGAAAAATATGGTAGTTTCCTTTAGAACATAAATACTTTGAAACCGAATGTGAAAAGTATGATTGTCTTCATTGAGAATTTATTGTCTGTATACTTAGAACTAGCACATGATGTTTAAAGAAATTCTGACTTGAGTTATCTAAATGTTTTATTTAGTAAAGGAGTAATTTCTGCAGAAAACGTTGACATAATTAATTACGCTTGTCTGTATCCTAGGTTCTAAGTTCCAAACTCATGCCAACAGCTGATGATGATATGGCAAGAAGCTGTGCAAAATCCTTCTGTGAAAACTTCCTGAGAGCAGGAGGTTTGAGGTACCTGCTTTGCAGAAAATATATATATTTTTACCAGTTTCTCCTATAAAAGCCTTGCCTCCTTCTACTGGGTATTATGTGAAGTACATACTAAGAGAATAACTAGAAGGAATGGTGTTTCAGTCCATTAGTATATTTTAGTTTATTTTATGACTTAGAAAACTTTACCAGAATCATTTCTCTTTCTCTTCTGGTAGTGGAGGAACTCCCAAGAAAAATTGAGGTTGGGGGCCCCTATCTGTTTCTTTTAAATCTGTCACTACTATTGAAGTAAGGTGAGGTTCACAGTAAATCTTTATTGCATAAGGCATTATCCAAGGGGTAAATTAGCACAAATTCCCTCCCTTTAAGTGGTGTGTGGTTTAGTGAAGGGAAATAAACAGCCAGCTAACTGTCTTGTTAAGTAGTTAAGTATTAAAATAGAGGCCTAATTTTAAAAAGTGATGGGAAAAGGCAATCAAAAAAGTACTGCTGGGCTGGGAAGGTGGCTCAGTGGTAGAGCACTTGCCTTGCATGCATGAGGCCATGGGTTCGATTCCTTAGCACCACATAAGCAAAAAGAAAAAAGCTGAAAGTGGCGCTGTGGCTCAAGTGGTAGAGTGCTAGCCTTGAGCTCAAGAGCTGAGAAAAACAACCAGGCCCAGAGTTCAGGCCCCATGACCGGACCTCCCCCCCGCGCCCCCCCCCCCCAAAAAAAAAAGTACTGCTGTAACACCAGACACTTGGCAGAAATATATTAAGAGTATTTTGGTTTGAGACCAGATTGGAAAAATAGTTTATGAAATCCCATCTCAACAAGGAAGCCAAATGTGGTGGTACACATCAGTAATCCCTGCTGTATAGGAGAATCATGATCAGAGGCCAGCCGTTGGCAAGAAGAGCCCAATAATTAGCCTAAATAAATAAAAGCAAAAGAGTGCTAGTGCTATGACTCAAGTGGTAGAACACCTACCTAGCAAGCATAAGGCCCTGAGTCCAGAAAATAACCAGTTTCACCAAAAGAGGAGAAGGTAATGGTTAAATCTGCTGGGGTAATCAGATTAGGAAATGCTTCACAGCAAGTGGCTGTTGAGCTGGGAATTGAGGAATAGAGATTCCTAGGTAGATAAGAGAAAGATTCTTCTAAGTAGGGAGAGGGCAGGCGGATATATCAGCTATTGCAGAACTACAGTGAGTTATAAGCAAAGGAGAGAAACAAAATGGTCCTCTAGAGAGGAAGGAGTGAAGACTACCATGAAGCTTCAGCAGAGGACAGTTGCAGGAACTCCTCTATGGAGGTTCAGCAGGGAAGAGAAGCTCAACAAGGATCAGAGAAGTTGATGGGAATGGCAAACAGAACAATGAGGACTAAAAATTCTCAAGTAGAGGGGGAGATATGGAACATATAGTGGTTTTGTTTTTTGATTCAGTAGTTTCAGTGTGTTCTTAGCAAAAATGATTTCAAATTACCCAGCCATCTACAGTTGTAATGTAATGAGGGCATTATGTTTGGGTGATTTGTGCATATTAGTTCATGTACCAGGCATTGTTTTAAGCCCTCAGAAAAGAGCAGTGAATGAATTAGATAAAATCCATGTCCCCATGAAGCTTGTCGGCTACAGGAGGAGGCAGACAGCAAACCAGAAGGCAAACTCTTTCAGAGCTGGAGAGATACAAAGGAAGAAAGCTAGGTTGGAGATGGTTATGATTTTAAATAGAGGGACAGACAAGGCTTCACTGATGGGAATGAAGGAGATGGTGCAAGTTGTAGAGATGCCGGAAACAGCTCTCCAGTCAGATCTCCAACCAGCATTTACCTCATGGAGATATGTCAGGTACCTGTAGAGGCCATAGGAAGCCAGAGTATGTGCCAAGGGAGTGAAATAGAGGACTGGGACACAAAAGTTACACAGAAAGTTAGCACCTTATAGGTTACTGTGTTGACTTTCTTTTCTGTGTAAGAAGCCATTGAAGGATTTTTTTTTATACAAAAGAGTACTGTGATCAGTACTCAATCATTTTGGTTGATGTGGGGAGGTAAGGGTGGAAGCAAGGAGAACAGAAGGAAGTTTTGTAGTAATGTAGGGTATGCTAACTATGAAAAACAACCTGGACTGCATAATTCACACTAACTCTTGATAAATGTTTGAATCCATAGTGTTACTAATGCCAATGTAGTGATTGTTCTATAGACTCAAATTGCTATCTGCACAAGTATCTTTTTTTCTAAGCCAAAAGTCTAATGGACTAGAAAGTTATATTTTATATCATAGGATATATAGTTTACTTATATTTAAGGAATCCTGTAGAAATTTAGTATTCAAAAACATTTGTGAGCATTCACATGAAAATATTATCTTTGATGTTTTACTTTCTCTCTCCTTTGAAGTTTGGTTGTAAATGTCATGCAGAGGGATTCCATCCCCTCAGAAGTAGACTATGAGACAAGACAGGGTGTTTATTCCATCTGTCTACAACTTGCAAGGTATGTAAATGTAATGCATTAGTCTGGCCAGGCAATGCTTTAGTTTTCTTCCCAAATCATGTTTTAAATACTTGGAAATTACCTTGAGTAAGTCTAGCTTTTTCTTGTTAAGATTTTTACTTGTTGGACAAACAATGCCTACGTTATTAGATGAAGACCTCACTAAAGATGGCATCGAAGCACTTTCTTCTCGCCCATTCCGAAATGTTAGCAGACAGACAAGCAGACAGATGTCCTTATGTGGTACCCCAGAAAAGTCATCCTACCGGCAATTGTCAGTGTCAGATAGATCTTCTATCAGAGTTGAGGAAATCATCCCTGCTGCTCGGGTAGCAATACAAGTAAGTGATGGGTATATTTGAGAAGTATGAATACTTCCTACTTAGAGGGAGCTGCTTGGAGAGAGAACAGTATGGATATAAAAATGATTAAGATTGCTCTCAAGGAATTTATGATGAGAAAGAGACCACTAGTGTAGAAGGAACTATATCAGGGTAGCAGGGGTCATGTGTAAAATTATGAAGACAAAGCATTCTGTGGGCCCTTGCAGTAAATGGAGTCATTTCCTTCATGGTGATTTCATGTTGGGGTTGGCAGCTGAGCCAAGTTTTGAAGAGTAGGTAGGGATTGAACTTGAAAGTTGGAGAGAGATATTTAGAGTCTTGGAGAGAGAAAACTTCTTCAAGCAAGAGAGAAAAGAGAGAGAGAGAGAGAGAGAGCATGTAAAGTCAGGAAAAAACATAGCTTATATGAGAAGTTGAGAGAGCAAAGTCAGGAGGAAAGAACATAGCTTATATGAGAAGTCACCAAGTCATTTAGGAACCAAAATGTATTAAATGGGAGAGGGAAATTAAATTGTTAAAACCAAAGTGACCAACAATCATTTGAAGCCAGAGATTTTCAATCTCTTCTTATATAGATTACAGAAAAACTGAAAGTCTATAAACTTTCGGTTTTGTCCTCTGGATGATCTTGGAAGGGAAAGCATGTCATAAAAGAGGCCAGTGAGAAGCTGGTAGAACTCAGTGGCATATGTTTGGGTCCAATACTGCCTTTTCTCCTAATGTTCTCTCCACACTTACTTTAGACCATGGAAGTGAGTGATTTTACTTCTACCGTGGCATGTTTCATGAGATTGTCATGGGCTGCGGCTGCAGGACGACTTGACCTTGTTGGAAGTAGCCAACCAATTAAAGAAAGTAATTCTCTGTATCCTGCTGGAATTCGAAACAGACTCAGCAGTTCAGGTACTGAATTATAGAGGGACAAGGGAGAAGTAGCTGTATGACTGTGTGTATGTGTGTAGATTTGGCAGAGCTACAAAAAGAAGAGTGCCCTTAACTATAATTCTGATCTGGGAAACAGTTCTTTAGCCTTTTTTATGCATCTTAAGTTCTTGTCTTCCGCTTTTTTTTTTCTTTTTGTGGGTTGTAGGGTTTGAACTCTGGACATGGGCACTCTACCCACTTGAGCCACAGTATCACTTCCAGTTTCCTGGTGGTTTATTAGAGATAAGAGTCTCACAGATGTTCCTGCCCGGGATGGCTTTGAACTGTAATCCTCAGATCTCAGCCTTCTGAGTATCAGCTAGGATTACAGGTGTGAGCCACCAGAGCCTGGCCAGCTTTAGTTCTTAATAGCCTTTGGTTTTTCTTCTGTATGTGTTCATAAATACATCAGTAATAAAAGTTTTAAAATTGCCGAGCGCCAGTGGCCTGTAGTCTTAGCTACTCAGAAGGCTGAGATCTAAGGATTGCTGTTCAAAGCCAGCCTGGGCAAGGAAAGTCTGTGAGACTGTTATAGCCAATTGACCAACAAAAAGCTAGAAATGGAGCTATGGCTAAAGTGGTAGAGTAACAACCCAGTACTACCATACATACATACACAGTCTAAAATAATGAAATGTAGAAATGTTCAGTGCCTATTTTTATGAACATGTGACACGAAATCAACTTGTAAGATATAGGACATTTCTGATACCCCTAGGAGATTCTCTCATGCCCCACAATTTTACTATTCTTATTTCTACCATTTGAAATTAGGTTTGTCTTATAAACTCATGTTGGTTTTGGAAGGGAGTTTGATAGTATTTGGGCTTGAACTCAGGGCCTCTCCCTAAGCAGGGGCTCTACCACTTTAGCCATGACTCCCAGCTCCTTTTGCTTCAGTTATTTTACAGATAGGTCTTATATTTTTGTCTGAGGTCAGCCTCAGACCACAGTCATCCTAGCTGGAATCACAGGCACACCCAACAATGACTTGTTGGTTGAGATAGGTCAGTGCTAAATTATCTAGGCTGATTTCAAACTGCTGTCCTCTTGTTCTGTCTCCCAAGTATATGGAATTACAGGCATGTTTCATCATGTCTGGATGTAAACCCATTTTGAAATCTGAAAAATGTGTTTAAGGATAAATCAGTATTTGGAATATAGTGATAAAAATTTGGTTTTTTTAGAAAAAAAGCAAGGCTTTCTCGAGGGATTCTGGCCCTTATGTTAAAAGAATATTAAAATATTCCAGCTTTTGTAAGTTGCACAGTAAACTTGTCTTTGCCTACTTCCAGGAAGCAATTGCAGTTCTGGAAGTGAAGGAGAGCCAATAGCTCTGCATGCGGGAATCTGTGTTCGACAGCAGTCTGTATCCACCAAAGATTCATTGATTGCCGGGGAAGCTTTGTCTCTTCTTGTGACATGCCTACAGCTCCGCAGCCAGCAACTGGGTAGGAAGATCTTGTTTGCAATTCATTTCATTCAAGGACAGTTGAGTTTGTGTTAGGAATTTCTTACATTTCTTCATATATAAAGTCTTCCAGTAATGGGAACAAGGTTGGTATGTGGAACAGATATGAATATAGCAGAGTCGTCATGCTGAAAAGTGAGCTCCATCTATGCACAGGATTTACAGAGGTGTTTCAAGGATATGTCTGCCTTGTAGGAGCTTTCTGTCTAGCTAAATAATTCAAACATCCAGATTACTGGTTCATAAATTAAGGTAATTAAGAATTATACATCAATTCCTGATAATGACTCAATTATCAATTCCTGATAATTAAGAACTATGAAACCTGGCAAGATGCCGATGGCTCATGCTTATGACCCTAGCTGTTCGGTAGGATAAGATCTGGAAGACTGTAGTTTGACATTGGCCCAGGAAGAAAATTAGCAAGACTCCATCTTCAGAATATCTAACACAAAAATCAGGGTTGGAGGCATACATAGCTCAAGTGGTAGCATGTCAGCTGAGCAAGGCTGAAGCCATGAGTTCAAACCCTGGTACCACCAAAAAAACCAACCCCAAAACTAACACTGAACATTAAGATTAGCCTTTTTATTTTTATTGTTGGCTTTGGGAAAGCAAGGCTGATATTAACCTTTAACATTATAGTAATCAGAGTTCAGTCCCTCATCATTTGTGCTCACTGTCATGGTGTTCCCCTCCTGTTTCAGTCTTTAATTCCATCTGGGTGCTGACACATGATAGTCTGCATCCTCGTGTGATTCTATGACCTAAACAGTCCCTGGACTATCCAGAGATCTAGTAGATATCTGAACTGAATTCCTCATCTTGCCTTTCTCACTAAAGAGACTTCCCAAAGTAAAGGCATTTTCTCCCTACCCCCTTCATGTACTGTGGCTGCCAGCCTTGAGTAACACTTGATGGCTTTATTCCCACCTTTTTTTCTGAGCTGTCAGTACATCCTCCTCCTAGCGCTATCTAGATTCCCATGCTTGGTGTTCTTCCATATTTCCCCTGTTAGTGCTTAAAGCTAACTAGCAGTCTTTGTAGGATTGCAGCAGTAGTACCCTAAGTAGTGTTCCTGCCCTGTCCACGCAGTTTATTCTGTACACAGAAAGCAGAGAGGACTGTCTAACATGAAGCCAGATTGGGTCCCTTTTCTCAGAAAATTTCCTAGGCTTCTCAGTTCACCCAGACTAACAACCAAATCTTCATTAAAGCCTAAGGGCCCCACTCAGTGTAATCCTCCAGAAATGCTGTGCTTTCCCTTCCTTCTTCCCCTCAATAATGGACTCTTTGCTATTCCCCAACACCCAAAGCACATTTTTATCTCAGGGCCTTTATACTGGCTGTTCGCTCATTTTGGTATTTTCTTTCCCCATCCTCAGAGCCCTTTTCTTACTCATCTCCTGCAAAGCTTTGCTTATAAATCATGGTAAGACAGTTCCCTGACCAACTCCAGAAAGAATATACAACCTTCCCTTTGACTTAATTTTGCTCAAGTCTCTTCCTTTATTTTCTTACATTATTTTCTCTTTATGACATAGAATATAATTCACTCATTTATCATGTTATTGTTATCATCCCCTCTGCATCTAGATTTTAAGCTATACAAAGACAGAGACTTCTGTTTGTCCAGTTCCCTACTGAATCTCCCCAGTACCGAAACACTGCCTGATATATAATAGGTCCTTAATAAGTAAGTAGCCAGGAATAACATTTTAGAAGTTCTACCCAAAGGAGCCTCATTCTTAGCTGTTAACTTCCAACTTCCAGTTATGTAGAATCGGTGATCATGATGTGTTTTAGAACAGCCATTCCATATAAACCAAATGTAAAAATAACAAAGATAAACAGAAGCAGCTAGACTTTTTTTTTTTTTTTTGGTCAGTCATGGGGCTTGAACTCGGCCGGGGCACAGTCCCTCAGCTCTTCAGCTCAAGGCTATTGCTCTACAACTTGAGCCATAACACCACTTCTGGTTTTCTAGTGGTTTATTGGAGCTAAATATCTCACAGACTTTCCTACCTAGGTTGGCTTTGAACTGCAGTCCTCAGATTGCAGCCTTCTGAGTAGCTAGGATTTCAGGTGTGCGCCACTAGCACCCAGCTCAGCTAGACATTTATGAAACAAAATCATATCTGAAAGGATTTTCTCTGAACAAGAATGGTCTTGGCAGTTTGTGTATGAAAAGCATAACCTGTCAGGCACTGGTGGCTCATGTCTATAGTCTTTTTTTTTTAATTTTTAAAAAATTTTTTTTTGAGTATTGCGTTGTTTTATTTTATTTTATTTTATTTTTTTGTGAACACACTGTACAGAGGGGTTACAATTACATGGGCAGGATAATGCGTACATTTCTTATCAAGCATTGCAGCCTCCTCCTTCTCCCTCCCTACCCCCCCACCCAATCCTTCCCCCCCCCCCCCACCAATGTTGTAAAGCTCGTTTTCGACATGACAACTTGTACTTCTCATTGTTGCAACAGGTCCACCTGTGTCCTTATTTAAACGACTTGTTTTTTCCCCATCTCTACAAGTTATACTGACATCAAATATAGTGAAAGCAGGGGTTATACTGTGGGGGAGGGACATACAAAGAGATAATCTTATAAATGCGTTAGAAACAAATGCATGAAAGAAAAAAAATTAAAATACATATCTAAGGGTTCATTTTCCTAACATCACATTATCTGACCTTTTCGCTTGACTCATACATATACTAGATATTGCAAATAAGGGAAACCATGGGACCTATGTTTCTTTGGACCTGGCTTATTTCACTTAATATACTTTTTTCCAAGTTTTTCCATTTCCGAACAAATGGGGCAATGTCGTTCTTTCTGATGGAGGCATAGAATTCCATTGTGTATATATACCACATTTTCTTGATCCATTCATCTACTGAGGGGCATCTGGGCTGGTTTTCATGTCTATAGTCTTAACTACTCAAGAGGCTTAAGATTTTGAGGATCATGGTTTGAAGCCAGCCTGGGCAGGAAAGTTCATGACACTTTTACCTTTACTATGACTCAAATGGTAGAGTACTAGCCTTGAACAGACAAGTTCAGGGACAGCTCCAAGTCCCTGAGGTCAAGCCCTAGCATAGTCATCAAAATGAAAAAAGAGTATGATGTTATGAAATGACTCTTAAAACTTAAGCCATACTCTTTGATTTACCTAGAAGTAATTTCATCTATCTTTACAAGTTTTAACTTTGCTCTGTGCTTTTATCTTATATCATTTGTAAGTATATGTTAGTATATATTTTGTGGTTAGAAGTATTGATAGGTATTGAAGGCTGACTCAGATGGTAGAACATCAGCAAATGAGCAAGCATGTCAGATCAAGTGTTCGAATCTCAGACCAAAACAAAAGAGAAGTATTGATAGTTTGTCAAGACAATTTATTCTGTAACTGGTATGTGCAAGTGTTGTGCTAACATGTACAATACAAAGGTAATAATGGAGACATGGCTCCTCCTCTGGAGCAACCTTAAAATTCCATGGGATAAGCAGACAGTGTGGCCCAGATAAAGAAAGTCCTGGATTTGATTCTATGTAGAAAGAAGGGCTAGAGTTCTACCTAAGTAGAGCTTATAGAAATAACTCATAAATTTCAAAATTCATTACCTAATTTATTTTTCCTCCTTAATTCTCCTTTTTCTTATTATTAGCATCTTTCTATAACTTGCCCTGTGTTGCTGATTTTATCATTGACATTCTGCTCGGATCAGCAAGTGCTGAGGTAAGGGGTTTTTTGGGGGGGCCGGGTTTGGACAGGGGTGGGCGGTTGTTTTGCTTACAAAAATCACCTGTGGACTTGTTCCTTTGTGGACTCTGGTAGATACCATGAGTTCATGGTGGGTACAAAGAAATGGTGGCCACCAACCACTATGAAGAAAAAGTGACTGAACTATGTTGTCCTCCCTTTTGCTGCCTCCTGCATATCCCAAGAAAACTTACAAGACTATTGTTAAAAGAAAATTGAGGTTTATTGCAGCCAAAATATTACAACCTATGTTGAGTGTCCAAAACTTGGAAGGACATCAACATGATCTAAATGTGAAAAGACCAACTTCAAACCATGAACTTTGATTAATCTTTCTTACTGTCCTGAACAAGAACTTTTTAACACTTAAAGAGATGTGGTTTTTTTTAACTTTTGTTTTTATTAAGTTATAAGCCTATTGTCTAATGTAGACTAGTAGAATAATTTGGGAAATCAGCTCACAGACCACAGTTGGTTTTTGTTGGTAGAGCTGTAATGGGGATTGAATCCATGTCTTTCAACATAGTAAGCAAGCACTCTGCCATTTGAGCCACACCCCCTCAGTCCACACTTCTTACCCATTTATTTGGTAGATGTTGTCCATTAAAAACTGGAGCATTCATGGAAGTGGCGCTGTAGCTCAAGTGGTAGAACGCTCGCCTTGAGTTGAAGAGCTGAGGGACAACGCCCAGGCCCAGAGTTCAAGCCCCACGACCGACAAAACAAAAACAAAAACTGGAGCATTCATACCTTTCTAATATCGTTGAATAACTTGAATGAATCAGTAGTATGGAGTGAGGAAGTAGCTTCTAAATGCTAATAACGTGTCCTTTGCCACTAACAATTTTAGATCCGTCGTGTTGCCTGTGACCAGTTGTACACTCTGAGTCAGACAGACACTTCAACCCATCCAGATGTACAGAAGCCAAATCAGTTCCTTTTGGGTGTCATTCTTACAGCTCAGCTGCCTCTCTGGTCCCCAACTAGTATTATGAGAGGAGTCAATCAGAGGTATGTAAGACAGAGCTTATTTTACACAAAGGATTTGTGAACTTCAGTGTTAATTTTCCAAATGTATAAATAGAGAGGTCCAGACTTTTGATTTATTAGAAAATACCATACTTACAAAATGTTAAAAATTTTAACTAAAACATACAGGTGTTTTATAGTTTATCAAAATTTGGCCTGCAGTAGATTTTCCTACATAAATGGCGTTTTGGTTTTTTGTTTTGTTTTGTTTTTTGCCCATTCTGCTGCTTGAACTCAGGGCCTGGGCTCTGTCCCAGAGCCTGTCTGTGCTCTAGAGTAGTGCTCTACCACTTCTGGCATTTTCTGTTTATGTGGTACTCAGGAATTGAACCCAAGGCTTCATGTATGCTATGCAAGCATTCTACTACTAAGCCACATTCCCAGCCATAAATGATGCTTTTATTTGGCAAAAACAGTGATTTACCCCTCTCTCTGTATGTAAACTTAAGGCATTGCACTTGCTTGGCTGGTGGTCTACCCCTTGAGCCATGCCTATAGCCCAGCTTTTTTTCTGGTTGATTTGGAGATAGAATCACAGGGACTTTTTTTGCCTGAGTTGGCTTCAAACCATGATCCTCAGGTCTCAGATCTCAGCCTCCTGAGCTGGTGAGCCACCAGCACCCAACTTGAGACAAATGATTCTTTAGTAGAAATGTTGGAGCTGGATTTTTGTGTGTGTTTATTTTTAAAATTTAAGTTAATAAGTTTATTCTTTTTTATAATTCAGTTTATTAAATACAGCTAACTTTTAAGAATTTGATTTAACTACAGATCCTCTAAACTTTGAGACAAGAACAAAAAATATTAGATGAGATTTGTTTAGCATATTTAAAAACTCCTGTAGAAGAATATTGAATTGTAGAGCTGCTTAATACCATATAAAATGAAATATAAAATTATATTTTGTTACAATTTTGAAAATCATGTCTCATATTATTATTTTTTGATATTTCAACTTCGGGGCCTTATGCTTGTTTGATTTGCTCATGGTTACCAGTCCCAACATTTGAAAAATACCTTTATTCCTGTTTTTTAGAGATGGGAGTCTTACAGAATTTTCTGCCTCAGCTGGGTTCAAACCAGTCTTCCAGATCTTAGCCTTCTGAATATCTAGGGTTATGGACCTGTGCTACCAATGTTTAGCTGCATTTCATCTTTGACCCTCAGAATGGCCAAATGAGTTTGTCCATTTTATTATCTCCATTTTTTATAAACATAATGTTTGGTTCATTATGTGATTTCATCATTAGTTCATGCTGGAGACTGTATGTCTTCTATGTGTATAGAAACATTTCTTTCTATTATGTAACAGTCATTTTAGTAGTTAGAAAACTTCAGAGAAGTGGATTAAAAGTGACCATAGACACTAGCTGTAACTAGTAGAAACCAGTATCTTATCTCATTCTAAAACCTATGCCCTGAACCACTAATTCCAGTAATATAATTCCCCACTTTCTCATCTTACTCTGCTTTATACTACTTAGTATTTTTTATTTACTGCCTTTTCTCCCTTGTTCTTTGGTTGTTCAGTATTGCCTTAAAACAGTTCTAGGAATTAGGTAGGTGCCTACTAGGAATTGTTGATACTTAAGTGAACAAATGAGTGGAATCGGGACATTACATATATGGAATCAGTGTTATTCTTAAATATTCTTTTCCAAAATAGAATCTAAGTTCATCCAAAGGGTTAATGATAGAGACAAGGGGTAGTGCTAGAGCAAGGGCATTCTTACCTCTCAGGTACCTAGTGAATTGTGTAATTAAATATTTCTAAATGAATAGATGGAGTCTTAGAAATGAACAGAGAACTCATTTAACTGATGAATATGAAGAGTGATGAAGAATCAACTATGTCATAATGAAATGGACTCATTGTACAGAAGAAAGAAAAATACTGTACAGTATTATATACAGAATAGTTGATGACTGCTACAGTGAAAATAAATTTTGTTATATTTATACAAAGTAATATGTGATAGATATTTTTCCCCTCTTTACAACATTATTGCCATACTTGTATGTTAACAAAATCTCCAATATGTTCCATGCTAAAATAATAGAACTTAAATCAGTGTAAGTTACTTTATGCATAGGAAAATTATCTTGCTGTTTCTGCTTTTTTTTAAATAAGAAAAATGCTTTTTATTTTCAAATCAGTCTCTTACTAACTGAAAACTATCTGTTTTTAGACTGTTGTCTCAATGTATGGAATATTTTGATTTGAGGTGCCAGTTATTAGATGATCTGACAAGTAAGTAAATGTCTAACTTTGATTGGGTTGGGGTAAATAGAAGAGAAAGCCATACATGCATTTCTAATATAATTTACTTATCTCAGATGTAAATAAGATTATAGATATTGTTTAAAGTTTGGTTTTGTTTTCTTGAATACCATATATGAGAATAGAATAATGAAACAACCTGTGAAGTTATTTTAAGGGGAAGTAGGATAGGGAGAGTAAGCGAGGGGTGATGTTGATCAGGATGTGTGTTTACATGTGTAAAAGACAATGAAGCTTCCCTACTAATAAAAAAATAATAATTAAAAAAAGAAAATAAAATTTATGCCCATGTACCAATTGTATACTTAATCATTTCCAACTATTAGTGTGTTGAGATTTGTTAAACTTAAAAATTTTCAAAGGTTTCTATTTTAGTGACACTCACGCAGAACTATTACAACATGTAATATATTCTGAGTTTAAAAGGTACACCACTAGAAGAAGGGGGAAGAAACATGCGGAGGCGTGTTTATAGTGATGGAAATTCATAATTGTGATTTACAGAGAATCATGGTGGGGAATTAGTTGTCAGTGTTGAGATGCTAATTGCCTGTATTGCCAAATATATATTGGAAACAGTTTAACTACTGTGGGGAAATTTTAGTTGTTAAACAGTTTTGTCAGCTTATTCTCTACTCTTTACACAAGAATTTGATTCAGCCTCCAAGAAATAAGTAAAATAGCCAGGCAGCCGTGGTTCACAGCTGTAATCTTAGCTACTCAGGAAACTGAGATCTGAGAATCAGGTTCAAAGCCAGCCTAGGCAAGAAAGGTTGTGAGACTCTTACCTCCAATTAGTCACAGAAAAAGCAGGAAGAAGAGTTGTGTCTCAAGAGCAATTTCTGAATAAAAAAGTTCCTAATGTACACCTTTCCTGTATTTTTGAGTGATAAATGAGGATGCAGCTAAACAAGGTCTTAGAGACTAGAGAGAATTAATTTTTTTTCTTTTTTTTTTTTTTTTTTTGCTTTGCTTTGCTTTTGTTGCTGGTTCTGGGGCTTGAATTCAAGACCTGGTCTCTGTCTAAGCTTTTCTGCTCAAGGCTAGCACTCTGCCACTTGAGTCAGAATTGCACTCCCAGCTTTTTGGTAGTTAATTAGCGATAAGAGTTTCATGAACTTTCCTGCACCTGCTGGCTTTGGACTAGAATCCTCAGATGTCAGCCTTCTGAGTAGCTTGATGCCCAGCTTAATATCTTTTAATATACTTGAAACAATATCCTTTTAATATATCTTGCCAATTTCATGTATTTTCTTAAAGCAGTGCTAATATGAGACATTGGATGCAGAGTACCCTGTGATATGTATTAGCCTTGTTACATAAATGAGTAAGCAAAGTTACAGTGTGAGGAACTAGAAGAGAGTAGGTTCATATCTGCCACTGGACCAGCTCTGTCTAAATGTATGGTATCACTTCCTTCTTTTCCCCTGTAAGAACTGCTTTCCTCTCTTTGATGCACTGAAAGTAGAGTATAATCACTCTTCCTCTGCTCTCTAATCCAAATTCTGTTACGGAATTTTGCTGTAAGTTCTTTTATTTCTCAGAGAGTGAGCTACTTACCATAAAAAAAAGAATAGTTCTCAGGAATTTGACCCATTATTTAGAAACTGCCTTTGTTGCTCTGCTGTTGATCTCTTTCTCCTTTGCAGAGCTTCAACCTGATTGGTTTAGGAACCACTGGAAGAGCTTTGGTTCTCCTCCTAGCCTTCCACTCTTCTCCAGTAGAGTTTGTTTCCTCACCAGGCACTTCTTCAGAGCAAGAATTATCTCCTTCATCCAACACCATTCTCTTGAAGCAGCATATCAGTCTGTGCTGAGAGGCAATTAACAGGGTTTAGTTTATGCCTTCACAGTCCATGTGCATAATTGTTTATGAATGACAAGTTTTTGAGTCTGTAAAGTGAAAAATTGGGACTGACTTGGCTCATTTTAAGTTGTTTCTTTGTAATGAAGTTTTTCCTTCTTAGCTTCAGAAATGGAGCAGTTACGAATCAGCCCAGCCACCATGCTGGAAGATGAAATTATGTGGCTGGATAACTTTGAACCTAATCGCACAGCAGAATGTGAGACCAGTGAAGCAGACAACATCTTATTGGCAGGTCACTTGCGGCTTATTAAGACCCTCCTTTCACTCTGTGGAGCAGAAAAGGAAATGCTTGGTAATTATTGTTTCATCTTCTCCTGAGAATACCTTGGTCCTCAGTGATTGCCACAGAATGGAATATAACTAGAACAATAAGAATATTGCTAGATGTTCCATGAAAAATTGACTCTAAGAGTAGGAAGTTGTCTGCAATTGGATTGGCTTGCAAACTATTTATGTCCTTAAGTTACATAAAGAAAATTACAGTATTCAAGACGGCTGAGTCATGTAACATTTTAATCCAAGTAGGTCTCTTTTTGCCTTATATGCTTCATAATGTACAATCTATTACATTATGTATCTTAATTCTTTTAAGGATGATTCTCATCTTGGGGGGTGGCTCCCTCAGCCACCATTTTCCTAGTGGTGATGTACATAAGGGATTGGAGAAGAAGCACATGATTACATATGACCTGGAAACATATGTCCAATATTGTAAATTTAGGAAACAAACCAAAAGTTTAAATATTCCTTTTATAACACAACTAAATTCTACAGAATATTGTTTAGCTATAGGGTATATATAGATTCTTAACAAGAAAGGAAGGAAAATCATTTTTGCCTAAAAACACGAGGCTTAGTAGTTTCATAAACCATCGTATGTATTCTCTAACCCATTCTGCCTTATAGTGTACTTGGCTTTGATGCGTTCAGGGTGAGAGCTTGGTTCCTTTTGTTGTATCACAGGCTTATAAATAAGGAAAGCACCTTCCTTTGTTCACCTTTCTATCCTGTCCTCCACACAGAATGGGGTAGTACAGTAGTACACTCACAAAATCAATGTTCTGTTAAACTAGACACACTGCTATTTGGTGGCCTTTGCTTCTCTGATAGAAAAGTGCAAGATAGGATCTTTGTATTAAAATCCCTGCTTGTTTTCAACTTGAATCTTGTGCTTTATTCCAGGTTCTTCACTCATTAAACCATTGCTAGATGACTTCCTTTTCCGAGCTTCTAGAATCATCTTAAATAGTCATTCTCCAGCTGGCAGTGCCGCCATCAGTCAACAGGATTTTCATCCAAAGTATGGAAAATGCACGTTGTGTTCAGTTTTGGTAAAAATTCTAATTCAAAATTTTAGTCCAAAATGATTTTTCTAACTTGGAGTTTTTCTCCCATCTTAAGTTATCTGTGTCCTGGAAAATAGTATGTGCTATGTAAAGAAATGCATGCAAAGGACTTAGTGTGAAGCCCACCTTACACATAGTAAGCATGGAGAAAGTATACCATCATCTAATGGAAAACCAAATAATGTGGTTAACTTGGGCATAATTCCAAGGGAAACGTGTTGTAATAATTATGTCTAGCTGGATAGAGTGGCACATGCCTGTGATTCCAGCTACTCAAGGGATGGAAATTGGGAGGACAGTCTGGGCTAAAAGTTCATGAGGCACTAACCCAACCAGAAAGGTCAGCATGGTGATTCAGGGCAGAAATTTAAACTATACAAGAGGCATAGGTAGAAGGATCGTTATTTGCTTAGGTAGCCCTAAGCAAAACTGCGATACTCCATCTAAAAAATAACTAAAGCAAAAAGAAAGATGGTAAGAGGGCCTCACTGGGAAAGTGGCTCAATGTTGATTTAGTGTTGAAATTGGCTTGTGTCTTACTTGTAGGTGTAGTACAGTGAATAGTCGATTGGCAGCTTATGAAGTCCTCGTGATGTTGGCAGACAGTTCCCCTTCAAACCTTCAAATTATTACAAAAGAACTGCTTTCTATGCATCATCAGCCTGACCCTGCTCTTACAAAGGAGTTTGATGTAAGTTTTCTAAGCCATATTGCACCTAATTTTTTTAGAATGGTCTTTTAAACCATTTTAAGACTGCATTTTTCTGAACACAGAGTCTACTGCATGCTATGTTCACTGGTGTTAAAATAGCTATTAACATTTTATCACCAATTTATACTGGAGTATATTAGGAAATGGATGCTTTTAAAGAAGAAAGGCAATTTCAAGTTGGTAGTAGTTACTCTGAATAACAAATAGCACTCTAATGTGTGTATGTATGTGTGTGTGCCTGTGTGTGAGTGTGAGTGTGTGAGAGAGAGTGAGAGAGAGAGTCCTGTGGCTTGAACTCAGGGCCTTGGCACTATGCTTCAGCAGTCGGCTTAAGGCTAGCACTCTATCACTTTGAGCCTCTGCTCTCCACTTAGGGATTTTTGATGGTTAATTGGGGATAATCATTCTCATGGACTTTACTGCCAGGACTGGCTTTGAACTACGATCCTCTGATCTCAGCCTCATGAGTAGCTAAGATTACAGGCATGAGCCACCAGCGCCCAACCCTCTATAAGCTATTTTTTGAGTAGCTTTTTGTAGGCATCGTACCAGGTAATAGAGCATAAGATTCATAGTTTTCCAGGTGCAAAGGTATGTTAGGCTTTTAGATCTCAAAATAGAATGTCAGTCCTCAAGCAGATCTTAGTGTGTATACCAAAAGAGATAGACCCATACACATATCACAGAATGTGACACCATGTAAAATAAAGTTATGTCTTAGATTCTCCACTAACACAGAGTGGCACCAGCCTAGTGATGGTTTCTTAGAAAGCTTAGCGAACATGAAACTTGATATAGAGTCTTAAGAACTAGTGACGAATTAAAGCAGGGAAGGCAGTCATTCATTCCATTTCAGCATGAGAATATGAGCAATACTATGTTGCCACAAAGCAGTTTAGGATATAGTAGGATTTGCAGGATGGAAATAAGTTGCACTTACCGTCAAATGCCAGGAGTGAGAGGACACTTTCAAAACTGCCTTTGCTTTTTCTTTTGTCATGCAGTCAGATCTACCCTTTGGATGCCTGAGCTAGATATCAGGTTTGTCAGGAAAGGAAAAGAGAACATGTACCCTACACAGAGGAAATGGCATTTGTAAGGACTTAGAATATGTGAGCACATAATTGAGGAAACTGATTATTCATATTTATGATGTTTATTTTATGCTGTGCTCTAGCTTTACATGTTTTTATGTAATTAGCAGAACATCAAGCATTAAAATATGAACATATATTTTCATAAATCAGAAATTATGCCAGCATGTTTTCACTATATTTGATTCCTGTGCCTTGCATCTTATATGTACTTTTTTTCTAATTTGGGAAGAGGAAGGGAAATAACAAAATGATGAAATAAGGATACAGGTTGATAGGTCCCATGGTTTCCCTTATTTGCAATAACTAATGTATGTCTGGGACAAGCAGAAAAGGTCAGATAAGATGACGTTAAGTGAATGAACCCCAAGAGAGGGACACAGTGGTTTTTTCTTCCTTGCTATTGTTTCTAATGTATTTATAAGGTACCATGTGATATTTTTGTTGCTTTGTATGTCCCTCCCCCATGTTTTCACTATATTTGATGTTGGTATAATTTGGAGAGGGGAAGGGAAATAACAAAATGTTTAAATAGGGATACAGATTGACCCATTGCAACAATGAGATGTACAAGACCTATGTCGAAAAATGAACTTTACAATTTAGGCAGGTGGGGGTAGGGCAGTGTAGTTGAGGAAGTGGGAGGGATGGGATGGTAGGGGAAAAACAAAGGAGGAGGCAACAATGCTGTATAAGAAATGTACTCTTTACCTTGCTCATGTAACTGTACCTCCTCTGTACAGACAGTATTTTCACAATAAAAAAACTTATTTAAAAAAAGGATACAGGTTGATCCATGTACAAGATACTGTGTTGAAAACAAACTTTACAACTTGGGGGTGGGGCGGTAGGGAGGAGTTGGGGAGGTGGAGAGGGAGGAGATGATAGGGGAAAAACAAAGGAGGGGGTAACAATGCTCCATAGGAAATGTACTCATTACCTTACTCATGTAACTGTAACTTCTCTGTACACTGTCTTTACAATAAAAAAATATATGTTAAAAAAAGAAAAGTATACAAGAGAAAAAAAAGAAATTATACCAGCATAATGGAGAAAATGCCTCTTTTAGTGCTACTATGAACCAATTTTTCTTGTAACTTTCTTGTCTATGCTTTGTATTTTAAATAAATTTCAGTAGTAGCTCTTAGTTGTCACCCTTCTCTAAGTTAATATCTGGTATTAAAACAATATGATATCTAGCAGTTCCTTCCTTGAGTCAAGGTGTTGAGATTTTTGTGAACTTCTCCATTATTACATGGATGTGCAAGTACATGATGTGCTAGGTATGATCATGGCATGAGATTTAAGCTCCTGTCATAATTACATTTCAATATCTAATTACAATATCCTCTTCCTCTTGAAAGAAGTACATGTTGAATGTTAGCCAAGATACTTTTTCTAGAATATTTCCCCTCAGCTCTTCAGCTCAAGGGTAGCGCTCTACCATTTGAGCCACAGCGCCACTTCTGGCTTTTTTCTTTTTGCTTATGTGGTACTGAGGAATCGAACCCAGGGACTCAGGCATGCAAGGCAAGCTCTCTACCACTGAATCACCTTCCCAGCCCTTCTAGAATATTTCTACCCAGAAAAGTACTACTAGGATCTTTATTATTTCATATTTGTCAGTGAAATAGTAGTGTATACTTATTAGAAAAGGTCCAAGAGAGTACTCCAGTAGCTCATGCCTATAATTGTAGCTACTAGGAAGGTGGGGATTGAAGGGGATCACAGTTCAAGGCCAGCCCAGGCAAAAACTCAATAAGACCCCCACCTCAGTCAAAACTGGATATAGTGAATAGTGACATGTACCTGTCACCTCGGCTACATGGAAGGACAACCTAGATTTTTTTTTTTTAGTCATGGAACTTGAACCTCAGGGCTTGGGCACTGTCCCTGAGCTCTTTTGCTCAAGAGCTCTACCATTTTGAGCCATAGCGCCACTTTTCTGGTGGTAAATTGGGGGAGAGAGTCTCAAGGAACCCGGGTGGCTCACACCTGTAATCCTAGCTACTCAGGAGGCTGAGATCTGAGGATTGTGGTTCAAAGCCGGCTTGGGCAGGAACATCCATGAGATGCTTATCTCCAATTAATCACCAGAAAACTGGAAATGGTGCTGTGGCTCAAATGGTAGAGCTGAGTGACAGCGCCCAGGCCCCAAGTTCAAGCCTCACAACTGACAACCCAGGCTGGCTTTAATCTGTGAGCTTCAGATCTCAGCCTCCTAACTAGGATTATAGGTGTGAACAACCAGTGCCTGGCTCAACCCTGATTTAAGAAAGAAAAAAGTTTTTGAGACACCTCTCCCCATCTCAAAAGAAAAAACTGACCAGAGGGGTATATACTTTTTATTCCATCTACCTGGGGTGGGAGCAGGGTGGAGAGTAGACTGTAGTGCATGCTGGCCTGAGTGCAATACAAGACCTTATCATCTCAAAAATAACCAGAATAGAAAGGGCTGGAGGTGTGGCTCAAGTGATAGAATGTTCAGCAAATATAAATGAGTTCAAACCCCTGTACCACCAAAAAAAGAAAAAGTTTAGTAAAACAATACTGCCTTCTCTAAAAGGGAAGAAATGAATACAAGCCTTCTTAACCACTGCGGGATTTCTGTGGTAACCTCTGATAAAACCATGTTGCCTTTTTCCCCCCCCTCAACACATCTTTAGGTATATCTGCTTAATTAATTTCTATCTAATTCTGCTAGACTGAATTCCCTTGGCCATAGACCACAAACATTCAGTTTTCTCTAAATCATTGGCACATAGTGTCAATAAATATTTGTTGAGTGATGATCAAGTGACTTAATGCCTTATTACAAAAATGAGCAAAAAAATACACAGCTGCTGTATGCTAAATACTTGATGAGCAAAAAAGAAACATTGAGTTTCATTGACTTTGTTAGTGTGAGTTTCCTGATCCTGGATGGATCTGAGTGGACTTTTTTCTCCTCACAGACAGTACATATGACTGCAGTGGAGTCTGTTAGAGGTGCTAAATCTCTTTGCTGTTGTTTTTGTCTTTTCCTAGTACCTTCCCCCAGTGGATAGCAGATCCAGCTCAGGCTTTGTGGGGCTCAGGAATGGTGGCGCTACCTGTTACATGAATGCAGTCTTCCAGCAGCTGTATATGCAACCTGGGCTCCCTGAGGTGATTTTCTCTCTTCATCGTGTTTGATATGAAAGATGATCTGTGTATTGCCTGAAATTGTTCCATACTTTCTTACTGCTTCTTAGCTTAATTCAGTCAAGACAACTAGGAAGTTTTTAGTAGATTCTGAGTATAGACATGGTCTTAGTCATACATTTTCATAAATCTGCTGTTTCTATATCTGCCTTTATAACAGATAGACTTGACTTAATGTGTTTCACCTCCAAAGTCATTACAATCTATGAATTTACTATGATTTATGTATAGGCTCTGTCATTAGTGATTTGTAATAATGTCGTAGTTGTGACATGACAGGCAATATTTTGAAAATATTCCACATGTTGTATTTCATTTCTTAAAGAGATCCTAGTATGATTACAAGAATTTCCTAATCAAACAGTGAGGAAATATCAAAGGTAAATATGTACAGAGCCACATAGAGTATAACATTCTAAGAAAGCCTCAGATCCTTTTGTACATGTGTGGGTTTCCTGTGAAGCAATTAAATGACCTAACTAAGTACATTTCTTTCTCTTTAGTCCCTGCTTTCAGTGGATGATGACACAGACAATCCAGATGATAGTGTATTTTACCAAGTACAGTCTCTCTTTGGGCATTTGATGGAAAGCAAGCTGCAGTATTATGTACCTGAGAACTTCTGGAAGGTGCTTCTCCCAGCAACTTTGTATTAACTTAAAGATGTTAAATATTTAGTTAGACAACATTTTTCCTCAGTGATGATGGTTTTGTATCTTTTCTAACTCTAGATTAATCCCATTGCTAAAAACCTATAAGAATTAGGAGTAGAATTTATACTTGGTTTCAAATGTTTACAATGTTAAGTGTAGTCATTCATGATTTGTAAAAATTTGGCCATCTGTTTTGACTATTTCTCGTGAGTCTTTTTTTTTTTTTTTTTTTTGGCCAGTCCTGGGACTTGAACTCTGGGCCTGGGCACTGTCTCTGAACTGTTTTTGATCAAAGCTAGCACTCTACCACTTGAGCCACAGCACCACTTCCAGCTTTTTATTTTATGTGGTACTGAGGAATCAAACCCAGAGCTTCATGCATGCTAGGCAAGCACTCTACCACTAAGCCACATTCCTAGCTCCCTCCCCCATCCACTGACCCACATCTTAGCTCTTTAAAAATGTTTTGTTCCAAGCCAGGCATACCTGTGGCTCACACCTATAAACCTAGCTACTCAGGGGGCTAAGATCTGAGGATCATGGTTCAAGGCCGGCCTGAAGGAAAGCCCATGAGACTTTCCTTTCCAATTAACTACCAAAAGCCAGAAGTGCAGCTGTGACTCAAAGTGATAGAACGCTAGCCTTGAGCACATAAGTTCAGAGACAGCACCCAGGCCCTGAGTTTAAGTACCAGGACCAACATACCCAAATATATATGTTAAGATAATTCCTCTGGACCTACCAAGTGCTTCACTTCATTTCACAAAATGGATTACTTTGTGAGTTTCCCAAGAATTTGGTTAATTTCTAACAGACAGACTTTTAGTTTTTATCCTGATATCTCAACCTGTATCCACCTCTGTTTTTAGAGACTTGCTGGTAGAACAGCATAGGTAGCTGAACACAAATTTGTCTCACTTCATCCTAATCCCAACTTGGTTTTTAAACACATTTACATGTATTCTTTGTCTGTTGTGTTCAGAAATTGCAGCTTTTCCTTAAAACATTTAATTCTTACCACATAGATATTCAAAATGTGGAACAAAGAACTTTATGTGAGAGAACAGCAGGATGCTTATGAATTCTTCACTAGTCTCATTGATCAGATGGACGAATATTTGAAGGTAGGAAGTTGCACTTTCCCTTCAGCTTCCTAATTATAGTATAAGAACCTTAGGGTTAGTGGTTACTTAAAAACTAACAAATCAGAAATTATTGATCTTTAAACCTTTAACATCAGCTGTGATTCAGTTCTTCTTGGTATAAACAATGTAACATATACAAAATCAATAGATTAGTTCATAAGTTCCTAGTCTATAACACCTAGTAATGACTGTTTGTACCTTCCTGTTCTTGCTGCATGTCCCTTGAGGTGGTCTGGCCTCAGAAATGCTCCTGTCTATAGTGAGTTGAAAGAACTAAAAGCATCTCTGGCAAGGGAGGTGAGGTAGGGGGACCACATCAAAAAGTTGTCAGTGGTTGTATTTGTACCCAAATCCTCTTCTCTGCAACACCACAAACCTTCATGATGTTACTGTCTTCTAAGATTACCTGCTATCACTGATTGGTAACCTGTCATCAGTAGCACAGTTTTTGTATCTCATGTCTTCAAAGTAATGTAAACTTGTAACATTCTGGTCATGAGCAAAAAGAAAAGATTGTTGAGAGTTTCTTCTAACTTTGTAATTGTGGCACAAGAAGAGAGGATTCAGAATCATGGAAAATACTATGTTAATGATTCTGAGTGAACTTCCTCTTTTCCATTTATTTGATAGCTTGTACTGGATCTGATGATAGGTCATTGGCCTTCCACTGGTTCCTAACTGAAACTGCCAAAATCATTCTTTTTATTTTGATGGTTATTTGATCGTTATTTCAGCATAGATCTAAATAAAATGCTCTGTGAATCAGTCTGTAAGTTCCAGAGGCATTAATTACAATTTGCACTTTTTATTTTGACAGAAAATGGGAAGAGACCAAATCTTTAAGAACACTTTTCAAGGTATCTATTCTGATCAGAAGATCTGTAAAGACTGTCCTCACAGGTTAGTGAAGATGTCATTGACACAGGAAGTGTTATTGGGCTGTAGTGTTAGCTCTGAGGTAGAATACATGACCAGCATATGCAAGGCTCTGAGGTTTATCCCCTACATAGGGACAGAGGAAGAGGGAAGCATGTTAACATGAACATTTTAGTATGTTACAATTTTTTATATGTTAAAATATTTCTAAATATATTTTAGTGGATCTATAAATGTTTAATAAATTAAATTTCTTGGGTTTCTATCTTTCCTTGGTGGACTTAAGAAAATATTTGTTGGGCTGGGAAGGTGGCTCAGTGGTAGAGCGCTTGCCTTGAATGCCTGAGGCCCTGGGTTCGATACCTCAGCACCACATAAGCAAAAAGAAAAAAGCCGGAAGTGGTGCTGTGGCTCAAGTGGTAGAGTGCTAGCCTTGAGCTAAAGAGCTGAGGGACAGTGCCCAGGCCCAGAGTTCAGGCCCCACAACTGGACCCCTCCAAAAAAAAAACAAAAAAAATTTGTTGACATTTATAATTTTAAGCAATTCTAAATTGTCACACAAGTTGGTGTTTTTATTTGCTAGTGTACTTTTAAAGTGTTGAGATGTGCTAATTTTATTGATCTTGAATATTCTGTATCCTAAGTTCAGTGTAGTGATAGCTTTAAGAACTCTACATTGATGGGTTTTATATTATTTCCTAATTAGATATGAGCGTGAGGAAGCTTTCATGGCTCTCAATCTAGGAGTTACTTCTTGTCAGAGTTTGGAAATTTCTTTGGACCAGTTTGTTAGAGGAGAAGTTCTGGAAGGAAGTAATGCATACTACTGTGAAAAGTGCAAAGAAAAGGTATTGCATTTTTCCTTTTAAGAAAAATTTAATTTGCTGCTCATACTGTTTCTTGGTGAAAAATCAATACTAAGCTCTGATTGCTGCTTCCCCTAGATTGTGTCATTACTTGTTTTACACGGGTGGGGAGGCCTTTATATTAATTACTTTGTTCTTATGTTTTCTTCATGGAGATAATTTTTTTTTTCTTTAGAGAATAACAGTGAAAAGGACCTGTATTAAGTCTTTACCTAGTGTGTTGGTAATTCACCTAATGAGATTTGGATTTGACTGGGAGAGTGGACGCTCTATTAAATATGATGAACAAATCAGGGTAAATTGTTTTCCTTCCTGAATTTCTCATATTTATCTCACAAGTAGTTTGTTTTGATATAGTTCATGTTAAACAGGTGAGAAACACCCAGCCCATAAGCAATGTGAGGTTTTCACAGTTGTTTGGTACATGTTGGGACAGAAATGTATATGTTTCCTATGGACTTCCAAGACGATCTGCCTGTATTGATAATTTTGTATGGCCTGCAAATGATGTTAGTATCCAGATGGCCCTTGTCAGAAAAAAAGTTACCTTACTTTAAGCATACAAGGAAAATATGTTTAAGTGGTAGCATGGCTAATTATTAGGAATTACATGATTATGTTTATATTTATTAGCATAAAAACTATATATGGATTCTAAATAGTTTTTTATAAGAACAATATTTTTGTATTTTGTCACTTTGTCATCTGATTAAATCATTGGAAGGCTATGTGGATGAAATGAAATTGGTCACAGTATATATTCAAGTTTTATTTTTTTTACTGAGGATTTGTAGAGAATTGTCTGTAGCCATATCATGTTTAAAACTTATTGAGGTCTGGGAATATTTGCTAGTCCAAGCTACCATTTGAAGAATGGTGCTTTTCTAGTGAATTTTAGTTTATTTTCATAAATTGTTTTTTGCTTCTGCAGTATTAGGAGATAGTGGGATTTGTCATTAACAAACCTTTGAGTACCTTTGATCTACAAAAGTCAATAAAATCTTTTAATTATTAAGAAATAAAATATTAGTACTACATTTATTAAACTAATAATTCCTTACTCTATCATAAAGTAAGGAAGTAGTTACAAAATTAAAACGATCAGCCATAGCCAAGAGACTAGCATGACATACAAAGGAAAAACTACTTTCACAAAGTAACATTTCAATGGAGTGAATACCTTTATAAGATTAAAAAAAGATAAAAGCCCCATAAAATCTTGAATTGCCAGATTGGTGATAAGGGCAGGTTCAGCTAAGCTGATGTAGCTCTCTGTTGTAGAAGGTTACCACCCTAGATACTGGACTCCAGGTCTCAGACCAGAGACCCCAGCTAGTTGTGGGAAGCTGTGCTCCCAACCACCCCACCCTACCCCAAACCCCCAGCTGATTGGGCTTTGATTTCCCCTAAGATAATTTTTAGTCTGGAAATAAAGATATAGTATTAGAATAGAAATTAAACACCTGCCAAGATGATCTGAGTTAGTTCTTTGAACATTACTTTGACTATTGAAATGAGTAACAGAGGTGGTTCTAGGGCTTGTCTCCAGACTGTCCCAGCAGCAGACTTAAGAATGGCCTGTATGCCTCCCACACCCACTTTTCCTTGCTGTTTTCAAAGTCTTTATGCCCATGTCAAACTCCAGTCTCAGCAGAATGAGGAATCTGCAGCCCTGGTCTTGAAAAGTGGCTGCTAGGGAAACAGGCAGATCCACAGTGACCTTGGTCATCCTGGAAGACATCCTAGCATAACTGTGAAGTGTAAATTGCTCTCTGTAATTGGTATTCCAAGGGCGACTTGCATTTGTCCAGACTTAGACTGTTGGAGATGTTGTGCTTGAATTGGAGAGGCAGCTAGTTCCCGCCTAACTGAGGACAATATAGCCTTTTACTGCACTTGCTGAATATGTTCCTAAACAAAACTAACATGGTCTTCTTTTGCCTTTATGTAGTTTCCCTGGATGCTAAACATGGAGCCTTACACAGTTTCAGGAATGGCTCGCCTGGATTCATCTTCTGAAGTTGGTGAAAATGGGAGAAATATGGATCAAGGTGGTGGAGGCTCCCCACGGAAAAAAGTTGCCCTTACAGAAAATTATGAACTTGTTGGTGTCATTGTACACAGTGGACAGGCACATGCGGGTCATTACTATTCCTTCATTAAAGACAGGCGGTAAGGGTTTTTGTTTGTTTCTATATTAAGGTTTGAATGCAAGGCTTCATGCTTGATAGCAAAGTATTCTTATCAGTGAGTCATACCTCTAGCCATTTTTTGTTCTGAGGTTGAGATTTACACAACTAGGCCAAAGTCTGTTTTAGGCTTTCTAGCATAGCTAAGATAACAGACATATACTACCAGACCCAGCTATTGGTTGAGGTAGGGGGTCTTCTAAACTTCTTTGACTGGGCTGGTCTCTAAACTGTTGTCCTCCCAGTTTTAGTCCCCCAAGTAGCTGGGTTTCTCTCTCTCTCTCTCTCTCTGTGTGTGTGTGTGTGTGTGTACTGTTGTCCTCCCAGTTTTAGTCTCCCAAGTAGCTGGGTTTCTGTGTGTGTGTGTGTGTGTGTGTGTGTGTGCGCGCGCGTGCGCACATGCCCTTCACTAGAGTCTAAACTACTGAACTCACGTTCAACTTCAATTTTTTCACTCATTACTGGCCCTCTCAAATTGAGCCACATATCCACGTTGGCTTTTTGCTGATTAATTGATGATAAGAGTCTAGTGAATTTCTCTGCTCAGTCTGGCTTCAGATTATAGGCATAAGCCACCAGCGTTCTATTTTCTAAAGGTATCTCTCACTTGCTCTCTGGCCTACCTGCCATCCCTTTTCCCATTTCTCTCCTACTCCAGTTACCATTGATGCAAAGGAACTGCTATGTTGAATGTTTAAAGCTTGATATATAACTCTGCCCCTTCAATTTGCAAAGCTGTTTTAGAAGTTAAAATTGTCATTGCTATGCTTTTCTTAGCTATTTTCTGTTTTATTTTTAGGCAATACATAGAGACAAAGGTAGGAGATGAGGATTTTTTAACCTTAAAATATCTGTCTAATCTCTGGGTTCTAGGGGCTGTGGAAAAGGAAAGTGGTATAAATTTAACGACACAGTTATAGAAGAATTCGACCTAAATGATGAGACTCTGGAGTATGAATGCTTTGGAGGAGAATATAGACCTAAAGTTTATGATCAAAGTAAGTATAATAATGCTTTTCTAGCTATAGAATCACAAAAGTGAAATTATTCTTCAAGCTACTTAACAAAATTTTTTAAAAATGGGGAGAACAATGGAAGGGGTGACATTGATTAAGATACATTATCATAACCTGACTTATGGAATTGAAACTTCTTCATACAGTTAGTATTTTTAAAAATATTTTTAGGTAATGAGCATTATAGTCAGTAAAGAGGGTGAGATACATCAGAGAAAAACTCCCAAGTGAAACTTTCAGCTTTAAGTCTTACAGAAGTACTTGCCCACTCAAATGCCTATGTTTCCTTTACACTTACACAAAAGTATGATTATTAGAGAAGGCATTTCTAGTACTGAGCTTTAAATTTTCGTTTATTATGTATGATCTATCACCTGGTAGATTTTTCCTCTACAACCCCACCCCCAGGTGGAAATAGTATGAGAAAGGGCATGCATTATCAGAACTTAGTTTAAAATCATTTTGTATTAAAACCATTTTGCAGAGACCTTAGCATCTCTAAAGCTTAATTTTAAAATCTTTTTGGTGACATTTCTAAAGTCACTCTTAAGATTTTGCTGCAGTTTCACCAGTCATGCATCTGGTGGTGGTAACCTGTGGGGGCTGAATAGTATCGTGTCCAGTATTCACCTAGGTTTGTCTGTCTTTGCCAAAATGATCAAATGAAGTCAATATGATCTTGCCCTGTGCCACAGCACACATGTTTAAATGTTGCTTGCCTTTTGCTTAAATTTAGACCCCTAAAGGTATTTGCCTTCCCCTTCTCCATCACTCTGCTCTGTTTCACCTCCAGAGTAAGTGATCTGGTCCAGTTCAGCAACTCTTAAAGTACCCTCACTTCATTTTACACAGTATTCCTCTGTACTTATATTTTACATTTAACAAATTTAATAAATTTGCTTGTTGAGTATACAGGTCCTTTGTTTAGTCTATATTTTTTATTTACAAAGATTTCTTTGTTAATGTCATTATCAAATAGCAAATCCATATACTGATGTACGTCGAAGATACTGGAATGCCTATATGCTCTTCTACCAAAGAGTATCTGATCAAAACTCACCAGTATTGCCAAAGAAAAGTCGAGTAAGCGTTGTAAGACAGGAAGCTGAGGATCTCTCTCTGTAAGTTTCTCTTCCATATAAATTGCTGTATGATTCATAGTATTGTGATCTTTGATGATATACTCTTTGGGGTTTAAAGATCATTAGATAAAGAGAAATTCTAAAAATATTCTAAAAAGAAAAATTGTCTTTATTTTTTCCCCTCAATGCTCCCAGGACATGTTCCCATGTTTCCTGATATGAGTTATTTTGTATTTAGAAGACTGCATATTTAAATTATTTCATTCTAATTAGGATTTTTATTTTTCAATGTAGAATTTTATTTTTCAATGTTTTAAAGATTTGGCAGCATTTACTGCATGCACTTTCTGTCAAAGCATAGAACTGTGCAGACACAGTTGTTTGAATAAAGGTCTTGTCAGTGAATTTAATTTGGCTTTTTAACATACTAGATGAGGAAAATAAACAGTTTATGTTTCAAGCTAGTTTCTGTTTATGAGCTGATAAGTTGTAATGATTGCTGCAGCACAAACAACTTCATATTAAGCAGTTCTGATTTGGTTTCTCAGGTCAGCACCTTCTTCACCAGAGATTTCACCTCAATCATCTCCTCGTCCGCATCGGCCTAATAATGACCGACTCTCCATTCTTACCAAGCTGGTAAAAAAAGGTGAGAAGAAGGGACTATTTGTGGAGAAAATGCCTGCTCGAATATACCAGGTAAGAGCTATGTAAATAGTTTGAAGGAGAAAATCCAGATAAACATCAGTTTATCTTGTAGGTCCAGAGCCTTCTTTATTTATCACTCTTGTGATACTTCACCCCCTACTTGTACAAATGGTCAGTGATGATCATTATTACTGAATATCTGCTCTGCTACTGACTTTAAACAAGTCTCTTAATTCTTAAGGAGGTAGAGGCGACCTGTAGCCAACGTTTGGTGGCTCATATCTTTAATCTTAGTTACTTAAGGAGGCAAAGATGAGAGAATCATGACTTAAGGCTGGCCTGGCAAAAGCTAGTGAGAATCCCATCTTAACAACCAAACATATGTTTACATACATATTCCCGTCTACATAGGGCATAGGTAGAAGAATTGCAGTCTGAAGCCAGGCCCTGGCAAAACCTTGAGAACCTGGCTGAAAAAAATAATTTGTCAAAAAAAGAAAGAGGCAAGAGTCACGGCTCAAGTGGTAAAATACATGCCTATCAAGCATGAGGCCCTGAGTGTAAACCCTAGTACAACCAATATATAGGGGAAAAAGGAAAAGAAACTTTTGTAGAGTAACATTTTATTTCTGTTTTTTTTTTTTTTTTGATGGCAAAGCTAAGTCTCAGAAAAAGAGAAATGCCCTTCCAGAATCACAGAACAGGATTTAAATTCAGGACTGTGTAGTTCCCGAGTCTAGACATTATTAGCTAAATAAGCCAAAATGGAGATTTAAAAAAGATGTGGAGCTTTTTGTTAAGGAATTGAGACCAGGCTCTGGTGGCTTCCACATGTAATCCTTGCTGCTCAGGTGGCCCAAATCTAAGGATCACAGTTCACAGCCAGCCACAAAATATGCAAGTAGAGTAATAGGCTCAAGTGGTAGAGTGCTAGCCTTGAGCCAAAGAAGCTCAAGGACAATGCCAAGGTCCTGCGCACAACACACACACACGCACACACACACATACTCTCTCTCTCTCTCTCTTGAGCTATTTAAAACAGGGAGGCATGAAATCACTTGTATAAACTCTGTCTCTTTCAACTTAGAATCCCGTTAGTCCTTGTATAGTAGTTTCCTAAATTCCCCAGAGGTTTGCCTTTTTACAGTGTCTTGTATTTTTCTGTATTTTTTTTCAAAATTTAAAACTTCAGAAAGGAAGAAATTTTTATTCTGTAGTTTCTTTGTAGCAAAAACAATGGGAAAGTTTTTTAGGAAAGGAATACACTATTAATAGACAGAAATCAATCATCTCTAGAGAGAGAATGATCAAATTATAACCCATATTATCCTTCTTATCTAACCATTTCACTAGCACTATCTTCCACATATTGAATATTTTACCCTGTTTCTTAAAATAATTAATGGTTTTCTTTTGTAGATGGTGAGAGATGAAAACCTCAAGTTTATGAAGAATAGAGATGTGTACAGTAGTGATTATTTCAGTTTTGTTTTGTCTTTAGCCTCATTGAATGCTGTAAGTACTTGTTATATTGTTACAAAGAAGAAAGCATTAAGTGGCATCCTTTACTCTCAGTGTTTAGATTAGATACAAGAAAGATTTCTCACAAAGGTGCCTATTGGGATGCAGGAAGCCTTCAAGATGTATATTATAGATTTTAAACCAGTGGGTTTCCATGTAGTGAATTTTTAAACAAGTGCCCTTCTTTAAGGTCAAGTAGTTGGGTATATATCGATGGTTAATGACCTTCGTAAAGAGTTATTAATGACTTATAATCATATATTCCTCAAGATAAACTTCCCACTATTTCTTGTTTTTCTTTTTTTTTAATTTATTTTTTTATTTTATTTTATTTGTGAACATACTGTACAGAGAGGTTACAATTACATGGGCAGGATAATGCATACATTTCTTACCAAGCATTGCAGCCTCCTCCTTTGCTTACCCTTCACATCCCTTCCCAGCCCCCCCCCAATCCTCCCCTCCCACCCCCCCACCCGCACACCGACGTTGTAAAGCTGGTTTTTGACATGACAGCTTGTACTTCTTATTTCTTGTTTTTCAATAATCATTATGTTACATACCAAAAATGGAAACAATGTTCCTAGACTCTTGAGTGCTTAACATCCTAATGAACAATCTAAAGGCTATTTTGATAGGTCTTCATTTTAAAAATGAAGATGTTGCCTCTTTCTAAAAATTTAAATGTAATAATTTCTGTAATGAATGAGCTAGATTTTAAAAAATTATTTAACCTTGTCATGTGCAGTCAATTCAAAGTAAGTTGTAATAATCTATGAAACTTCTGTGGAAAACATTATTTCTTTTTCCTCTCTCTCTCTCAGACTAAATTAAAACACCCATATTATCCTTGTATGGCAAAGGTGAGCTTGCAGCTTGCCATTCAGTTCCTTTTTCAGACTTACCTACGGACAAAGAAAAAACTCAGGTGAGACTGATGTTTTAATAGTCTGTTGTGATATAACAGTCACTTTAACACTCAGTTAAAGGTGAATTTATAAATTCAGATGACTGAATGAAACATCTTTGTTTTCAAATTTTCAGTCTAGTGGGAAGGATAGATAAAATGAAATAATGAGTACAAGTTATAAATTCACTATGGTTTTGGGAACTGTACAAAATCATATCTAGAATACAAGACAAGAGTAGACTTTGAAGACACTGATGTCCTCAGAGGATTTTGAAAGGACAAAAGTAGAGAATGTACCAAACCTGAGTTGCAGACAAGACATGCCTAAGGTGCTATAAATGACTAGCAAATGACTAGCAAGCTGGGTTTTCCTAGTATTTGTAAGGGACTCCTCAAGTTAGTATGGAGTATCCACATAGGAAGTTTGGGCTTTATTTCATGGTATATCCTGGAGAGGCTTTGAACAAGGGTGTGTGTTCAGATTGATACTATAGGAACAGTAGGTATCAATTACTTCTTATTTATTCATCACTGGCTTCTATCTCTAGCACCCAGCTTACACAGGTTGTAGGTAAGTAGTTATTTAGTGACTAGAGTTAAAAATAAAGAATGTTGAGCAGCAATTTGCAAGAAATACCTAAAGGATTTAGGGTGAAGAGACCCAAGTCAGAAGTCTCTCTCTCAGCAAAGTGAGCTTCTCTAAGTCTAGGAGGTTTCAGGAAACATTTTTTAGTGAAACCCTTTAAGAAGAATACAAATATAATGGTAGTTTCATTGCTGGTGGCCTGTAACCCTAGCTACTCAGTAGGCTGAGATCTGAGGATCCAAGTTCAAACCAACCTGGGCAGAAAATGTCCATGAGACTCTTATCTTCAATTAACCAGAAAAAAAAAAAGTAGAAATGTAGCACAGGTAGTAGAGCACTAGCCTGAGCACAAAATCAAGGGATAGCACCCTGATCCTGAGTTCAAGTGCCAATACAAAGAATAAATAAAGCATGTGGTCTTCTTTTAAGTCTGTAGGATTCATTAGGCAAATGTTAGTTGTTGCTGTTATGTATAAAATTTGCTCCTAGGGTCTTCACATTACACACTATTTCCATTCTGTTTCTAGTCACCATCTGGGGACATTAGGGGTCTCAGAGTGGTGTGAGATCATGGATAGTATGATATAGTCATGGCACCTTTTACTGCCCAAAGATTTTATTCCATAAAGTAGAATATTAATACTCTATATTATATAACAAAATATTAATATTTTATAGGCTATAACAATGAAACATAAAATACTGTGAAATAATTGAAATATAAATATATTTAAATATATGAATATTTAAATACATATAATTTTAATATATGTTTTAAATAAAATTTAAATATATAAATATGTATATATATATATGTTTAAATTATAAGTTTAAATGTATTTGAATAGATGTAGATAAGTATATCCAAAATGTTACTTGTCTAACCTTTCCAACTGAAGGATTTTGTTTTGTTTTTGTGCAGGTAGTGGGGCTTGAGCTCAAGACCTAGGAGTTGTCCCTTAGCTTTTTCTCAAGGCTGGCACTCTGCCAATCTTAAGCTCCTTTAATACATTTTTATCTGGGGAGAGAAGAGTCACATCAGAAGTAACCAGAGCATAAAGGTCCACTGAGCCATGTTAGTGTAGTCAGTGAACATTTAACCTATCCTCTACCCCAATAGGTAGGAAGAAGTGATACTCTTGGGTTATTTGCTGGAGATGAACATTGCTTTTTGCTTTTTTTATAAAAGGGTTGATACTGAAGAATGGATTGCTACTATTGAAGCATTACTTTCAAAAAGTTTTGATGCTTGTCAATGGCTGGTTGAATATTTTATTAGCTCTGAAGGACGAGAATTGATAAAGTAAGTATTGGGATCTTTTCATTAAGAGAAATTTATGTCTCAGCATTAGAAATAAGGATGCTGTAAACCTTTGATTTTCCACTTAAAATCAGTTTTCTCATTGGAGTCTCACTTCACTAAAGCAGTGTGGAAATTATTTAAGTCAGTCTTACATCATCTCTGTTGGACCAGACTGGCAAAGGTTCATAGACTGCAGGGATTGTACATATGGTAATGCTCTCTCCAGGCAAGTGGCCCCTGAGCCTCAGTTTGGCTCAGGGTGGAGTGTGCAGGTCCCTTCCCTTGGTGACTGCTACAGTCGAGTAACAAGTAAATAGTAAACAAATTACAACACAGTTCACTTCCTGTTTAATTTTGTTTAGATTCTGATTAAAAGGTTATTTTTCAAAAATTAACCAACATTTACCTATATACTTGAGATTTTTTTAAGTAATTTGCCTTTCTTACTCCAGTCACTGATTGCATGATGTGACAAGCTCATCATATCAGCCTCTGAACTCTCTGGGAATTCAGTCTTAAAGGGGACCCAGCAAGTACCTTCAGTGTGGGTGAGACAGTGTCCTTTCTTCTTTCTCCCCAGTGGGTTCTTCCTTTCCTCTGCTTCACCCCTCAAACTTCTCACCTCTGCCTACTACTCTGCTATATGGTGTCATGGCCGCAGACATCACAGAAACAGCTAACACATGAGCCCTCATCACGCATGACTCACACTTGCCAGTCTCTTCCTGTCTGCCTTTCTCCTTCTTTCTCCTATGGAGGAAGCATCCTCTCTTTCAAAATGAATCTCTACATATGCAAGCCTTTTTAGGGAACTTGACCTTTTAATAATTAACTCTTGTCATGTGTCTTTGCCTTTTTTTCCACTGGGTCAATTCTGACATCACACCAACATGCTCTGGTATCTATCAACTTAAAATAAGCACACAGCAGGAAATTCAGACTTGTAGATAGATATCTTCCCACTGTCAGATCAATCAGGCTTACTAATAAGTTTAGGGAGGGGTGTCTTTTGTTGGTTTGTTTGTGGGAGAGTGATCAAACAGGACCTGGTACATGCTAGGAAAATGCTCCACTGCTAAACTATGTTTAGCCCTGATCAGAAATTCTTACTTGCCTATCCCCTTTGTCACTGAGCTCCATAGATGTGCATTGGCCGAAGTGGTATCTCCATTTCTCTTTCCTATAAGGTACTACCCTCATTCAGCAGTAAGACGTTCTGAGTGTTTTATAGAGAGGAGTTGTTTGGGAGATTGGTTTGTGTTTTTTAAGGGGAAATGTTTGGGGATTTTTTTTGTAGGGGGTTGAACTAGGGCCTTGAACTTTAAGCTATGCCCCCAATTCTTTAATTTAATTTTGCTTTTTTAGATAGAGTTTTACTAACTTTTTCCGTTCTAGTCTCAAACTCAAGACACTTTGGCTTTCTCCTTAGAAGAAGATGGGATTGTAGGTGTGCACCACCACCATGCCTTAGCTAAAAATTGAGACAAATCAGATCACATTACTTTTCTGCCTCACAGTTCTTAAGTAGATTGGCATAGTGCTATCATAAAGTCAGAAGTTTTTTTCTTTCTTTCTTTCTTTCTTTTTTTTTTTTTGGTCGGTTGTGGGGCCTGAACTCAGGGCCTAGGCGCTGTCCCTCAGCTCTTCAGCTCAAGGCAAGCGCTCTACCACTTTAGCCACAGCACCACTTCCAGAAGTCTTTACTATAAACCACAGGCACTGTTTGATCTTGTCTTTCTAGGCTTATCTTGTTTCATTTCCTCCTTGCTGATCGAGAGTTAGCCATCTTGACTTATTGGTCCTAAGCATTTTTTTCCTGCCTAATGGTTCTTTGCACTAGGTATTCCTTCTGTCTTGAACATTGTTCCCTTCACTCTTGACCCAGTAAGTGCCTTCTGGTTTCAGATGTCAGCGTAAGTAACATACATTGATCACCCAGTGTGAAAAAGGTTGTCCTATTAGTCTGTTCCTGATGGTTTTGTCTATCTCTCCCACTGATAAGCTTCTTGAGGATACTTTAATGGGGTCATCCCCTGCTGTACACAAAGACCCTCTTGCATATTTGTGCATGCATATATATCAATGCAGCTCATAAAAAGAGAACTTATAATAAGCAGTTCTTTGAAATACTGTTTGCCCATCCCTTCAGAATTTGCCATAAATGTAAAGTTTCATCCAGTTTTTCTAGTTTGGCTCTAAATATCTTTCCAGTATAATTCCTAAGTATTGTTTAGGTGTTGGATTGTCATAGATTGATGATCCCAAGAAATGTAGCAAATTCTTCATTCCCTTACAGGAAGTGTACTTGACCTTGAATACTCCTGAGAAACCATCTTTTTAGTGGCATTTTTGGTCTCTTAATATTTCTGATGATCAGGAATACCAGTAAATTATCTAATATTTTTATGAGGATTAAGTATGCATCACTGTCAAGTGATATGAGTTTATATGTTTAAAGAATTAGTAATTTTTTCCTCTGCTTACATCTTGCCTTACAACTTTTAGGATGTCATTGTCATAAATAAAAAAATACAGATACGCTGTACAAGTTGCATGGCTCTTATCTAAAGTGCTTAGGACTAGAGTACTTCAGAATTGTTTTGTATTTTACAATGTTTGGGTATATAGAGGTATCCTGGTGAGGAGACCGAAATCTAAATAGAAATTCACTTTGTTTCATAAACACCTTAGACACATAGCCTGAACTTAACTTTATACAATATTGTTAATCATTTTGTGCATGAAACAGTTTCATGGTGTGGAGTTTTCTACATGTGGTATCATGTTTGGTCTTAACGTTTTGTCTCAGATTTTGGGCATTTTTGTTAGGAGATGGTCAGCCTGTGTTAATATCTGTAACTTAAGATAAGCTTCTCCACACAGTTCTCTCTCTTTTTTTTTTGTGAAAATACCATACAGAGGGGTTACCATTACATGGGCAAGATAATGAGTACATTTCTTATCAAGCATTGTTGGCCCTCCCGCACCCCCCCCCCCCCCCCCCCCCCGCCAAAAAGTTTGTTTTTCAGCATAACTATTTGTATCTCATTGTTGCATTGGGTCATAGTTCTCTTTTTATTCCAGTCCTGAGGCTTGAACTCAGGGATTGGATGCTGTCCTACGCCTCTTTGTACTCAAGGCTGTTGTTCTACCACTTGAGCCACAGTGCCACTTCCAGCTTTTTTTAAGTAGTTTATTAGAGATAAAAGTCTCATGGACTTTCTTGTCTGGGCTGGCTTTGAACTATGATCCTCAGATCTCAGCCTCCTGAGTAGCTAGGATTACAAGTGCAAGCCACCAGCACCTGGCTCCACATAGTTCTTTTTTTAAAAAATTTTTATGTATTTTTTATTGTGAAAATACTGTACAGAGGGGTTACAATTACATGGACAAGATAATGAGTACATTTCTTATCAAGCATTGTAGCCTCCTCCTTTGTTTCCCCTTCCCATCCCTTCCCATCCTCCCCCGGCCCCTCCACCCAATCT